GTAACGTGTAGTTGGTTCTATCCCCGCACGGAACGACTCTTTGTGTGATCCACAGATTGTTGTTCCGGGTCTGGATGTGGTGTGTATGTGAACTTGTATGTTTGTAAACGCACCCACGACACAGGAGACAATTCTAATGTGGGGCAACGTTTTTTTTAAAGTAAGTAAAAAAAGTTTCACTCGCGTAACTGTTTGACGAGGAACTCGACTAGTTTCAAGCCATGCTAGAGGCTCATATTCATGAGCAGCATTCCGCGACCCGTGACACGGCGACTGTAGCGTTTCTACTGAGTAAGCCGAAAACCAAATAATTAATTTAGTATGTCTCACGAAAGTTTTAATCTTAGGGATCTTGTAGACCTAATCTAAGTTCATCTGCAACACCAACGGCATCTCGATCGCGTTGCCGATCAATTTAACATTGCCGAAAAAAATATTTCTGATATTTTTCTCATACTTTTATTTAACTGCGTGTCATATGAGCTGTATCTATGCACTAATTGTTGACAGAATTATGCATCGATATGACCAATACTTAAGTCCAAGTAGGTCCTAAACGGCAATAGCGTAGCTAACTCAACCCGGTTTTATACTTTTTATATAAAATTAAGAGCAAATTACCATTCAATTATAATGCGTAAGTAATAACGATAAGCTAGCAAAAAGGCTAATCGCTATGCTTGTTTATTTGAGTAGAACTAATTGAAATCAGATTTATTAACACTCTGGATACATAAATGCAAATGATGCAATGATCATAACTGCATGATTGATCGTACTCGGGTGGTTACAGCTGATAACTGGAGCGAATAAATCATTTTTATTGGATTTACATCCACGCTTTATGGGTCTCATGGTGCGTTACTTGCATTGTACAGCTCAAATTAAATTAATGTTCGAAATATTATGGACACTATATGCAAATATTTGTGTATTCAGAAAGATTTTTAAGCCGTTTTGCATATTTAATATTATTGTGTCTGGCTAACAATTATCATGTTTAAACAATGTGTCTACCTAGGCACCTATTTAAACTGTCAAACACCAAGCGGTCACCGGTGACCGCGACCTATTGTTCTTTAACCCATTTGGGCCCGCCGTCCCCATATGGGGACAGGTTTTCTTTTACCCGCTGGTTATTGATTATTTTAGCTATCTTCACATTTCATGGGTATTTATAATGAGGAGTAGTGTACTTTCCTAAAATTATTAGAACTTTTGACAAATTGCTACAAAAAAGGGGTCATATTGTCAATTTTATCAAGAGGAAGTGAAATGGGAATTATTATTGAAAGCAGAGGCGTTTTGTAGTACGTTATTATGAAGATTTATAAAACTTTTTTGTGATTATTGCTTGCTTATAGTGTCAATTAAAACAATATTGAAGAATATCCTTATACTTTCAATTCCGCTTAGGGGAAAGTTAGAAAAAATGGTGTCCCCGTATGGGGACAATGGGCACATCTGTAGTATATTTTTAAAACATTTATACCTGATTTGTATTTTGTTTTCCAATTTATAAAGGTCACCTATAGGCTAAACTTAGTAACTTAGTTATAGCTAATACTTGGTGACAACAGACGCTAATTCACGAAGAGCATCACCAATTCCACATATCTTTACGCGTTCATATTCTAAAATCTGATGGGCATCAAGACCAAAGATGCAAAAGTCCACCTACAGTACCAGGCGTCGCATCCGATATCAGAATGCAGCATTTCCTCCAGCTGTATTCTGGTGTCGTCACAGCGAAGTCCACCCAGAGGATAGAGTAGCATTATGCCCTGTATACGTTGACCACCGCCGTGTCTTCAGGGAAGTGATCGACGACGATAATCTTCCACGTCCAGCTTAGGTACTGGCTGTGGTGCGGATCGAGGGGAACTGGAAAACATCTCTTTCTGCGAAGCAGTCATAGTAGCAAGAACAGATCGCTGCCCAGAACCAGACCTGTACCTGTAAGGTGCGTGGCGTTACGCGCGTGCTTCAAAGTGCAGATCAGACCGCCTTAGATCGAGATGGCTCAGTGGGACAGATGCCCGACTACTATGAATAACCTAGTGGGTCACCGGGGCTTCGGCTTGAAGCAGAATTAGGAACGTGTTGGTTTTTAGCCAGTAAGAGTCCCCCAGGCGGAAAACGCATTGCATGATTTTTACCCTCAAAAAAAATATAGGCGCGTCACATCAAATTGATTTAGACATTTTCCGCAGAGATTTAGTTAATATCTGTTACGATACGCAGTTCATCATAAAAAAACTTTGATATCAATGCAAATAATGCATTAGAACCTTATGTGTCGAAAACAGTTACTACTTCGAAAAGTACTACACATGAGACCGTTGTCCCCAATCAAGGACGGCATTTTTTTTAATATTTCTAAAAATATTTTTTGGATTTTTTTTGCTGATATTAGTTTGTGGGCGTCATATCATTGAGTTAATAAAGTTTTTTTTATTAAATTATGTGTAGTTTGCTTTTGGTCCCAAATGGGTTAATTGTGTCTATAAAACCGGTACTCGACGAGTTAATCACAATTCATTGAACTGTAAGAAATATATAAAATTACATTTTCTTTTTGCATGCTTTTTAGGTACACGCTCGTCAATACTAAAGAGATGCATTTCAAAATTTGTATCATCTTTTCTCATGCATAATCGTAGATAATGGATATGTCATATGTATAGGTAAGTGCGGTGGCTGGGCAACCGGCTGCCGTGCAACGCGGGTTCGGTTCCCGCACGGAACAACACTTTGTGTGATCCACAAATTGTTGTTTCGGGTCTGGGTGTGACGTGTAAGTGACTTGTAGCTTTGTCAACGAACCCACGATACAGGAGAAAATCCTAGTGTGGGGCAACGTTTTTTTTTTTTAAGAAAAGAAAAGAAAAAAAAGAAAATCATCCAATGACCTCTCCCGCAATGGTCAGGGCGAGTGGGAGTGTCAGACTCTTACTGACAAAAAACCACCCCGTTCCTACTCCCGCACTTCGAGCCGGAGCCCCGGCAACCCGTTAAGTCTTCCGCGGTCCGTATCGGAGGTAGTTAGGTACGGTGTGTTATGTAATTAAAATAAAATAACATAACACAACATTTTCATCGTTTACTCAAATTACAAAGAAAACTGTTACCTTTTCTTAGAAACTTATGAATGAGTCACAAGTATAAAATGAGTGAGTAAGCACATGTCCATGTCGAGCGCTAATCGAGTCAGCTGTCAACGCGTGCGCAGAGCGATAAATGATTTACACTCACGCGCATCGTAATTAGTATTTAAGTATAATTTATTATTCTCTGACCCCTTCTTTCTAGTTAAGGTTGCTATTCACGTTTACACTACACTACCATGAATAAAGTAGTTTGATGGATTGGATACCCCAATGGAATGATGGATCATGGACCATGGATGGATTAAAAGGAAAAGGATTGAAAATTTATATAAAATCACAATAAAGTAAAATAAACAAGGTATCGAAGTACCCACCTAATATTCCATTTTTAAATTAATCAAAATTAAATATATCAAAATAAGTATAGTGATATATACATTAATTATACGATTATTAGCTGCGCCATGCTAATGATTATGGGATCCTGGCGTGGCTTCGAACCAGACAATACTGAACAACCGTACAACCGAATTATTGGAGTGTTTTGATCTCTTTTTTATGGGATAAACCGGTAAACGAGCAGGCGGATCACCTGATGGTAAGCAATCGGCGTCGCCCCTGCGTTACCGGCCTTTTGGTATTAAGGATTGTTGAGGATTCGGGGATTGGGAAAGGGGGGAGGGAAATTGGGCCTCCGCACTCACACGACGAAGCACGACGCAAGCGTTGCTTCACCTCGGTCTTCTGTGAGGCCTTGGCATCACTCCGGTCGAGCCGGCCCATTCGTGCCGAAGCATGGCTGTCTCCCACACTTCTCTCTGTGAAGTGTGGGATGTGTGTTCTTCTTTGAAGGCAATAATACCTACCCAGTGACGATGTTATTATTAAAATTTTCTATATTGAAAAGTGCACAGTGGTGCTGAACTGACGAACTTAGGACGATTCTACCGATAAGGCAAATGCACTCAAACACTAACTAGGTCCTAGATAGGTATCTCACAAAAGACAGTAGAAGAGTTTGCGTTTTAACTAACTTTTTAAGTTTTTTACGGTCACGCGAGGCTAACAAACTGCAAGGGTTTGTACTTTCCGACTGCTTGACCTAAATATTTTTATATGTCCTGTCCTGCATGCTTTGTCGCGCATTCTTGTTATTTAAGTGTATGTACCTGCCTGTTTAGTGTACCTAATTGTAAATTGTATTTTTTAAGTAAATACCTACTAAATAGCAAAAAGGGAAATTCGTTTTGGAATGATATAGATTCAGTAAAAAAATACTTTTCATTATTTTTTCTGCAAAGATCCGACCAACATCAAAAACGTTTAAAACTGTACTTATAAGCAACTTAGTTGTATTAAGTATTCATTAAAACTTACAGATTTCAGTTCAATAAAACTTTTACATACACGAAACCAACTAAACTTACATAAATTATGAAATAATGGACCTACATAAGAAAAGGACAACCTTCACGCGATCTCCTCGCACCATGCAAATAAGTTTCTCAGATTATTTCGCATCTTTAAAATAGGACCCTTTACATTGCGGTCGTATAACGTGCAAATATAACAACAACACGTACTAAAGAAGCAGTATGTCGTATAAATATAACTATTGAATATTGACCGTGATGTTGAGATCATCATAATTCTAGGAATTTTGTGAAATACCTCGCTCACATATTCTGCGGCTGAGATAGTCAAACAAAATAAACAATGAATACAATAATTTTGTGGGAAGAACATTTAGTAATGATATTAGATTGAAATATCCGCCATTTAATATAACTATGTTTAGTAGATTGTAAATATTACGTCTTTATTTAAACAACATAAATGTAACTTATAATTTTAAATTCTATAAATAATTTTTTATTGAAAATTACTCACCAAATAAATACGCCTCTTCACGCTTTCAAAACTGTCAATTATTAACTTTGTTAATTTCATTTTTCAATTACTTTTAACAAACTTTTTATACATAAAATTATCAATTTTTATAGACAAACTTCCAAGTTTCGAAATTTAAATTCGTTTCGAATAGACATTTTCGCGCGCTTTCGTATTTTTTTTAATTTAAATCGACGGCTTCGATCAAAAATGCCATGATGCCACTCGCAATGTGGAGGCTAAAGCGTGCAGCATGTGACTGCCGCGATGTAATACTTGCGGCAAACCGGCCGGCCAACGCGGGAACGTGTCGCCAAAACGCGAGCTGAGATTTCATACATTTCATAGGTCAACGCATTTTAATCCTCGTGAACGTGCGTTTGAGTGTAGGAGTTTCCTGTACTTACCTACTTCTAATTAATTTAATCATATACGAATTATAAGTAAGCAATGATAAATGATAGGTATTTGTGACTTATTTCACTGACTTATCTTGATAAATATGTATTGTTAAATTTTAAGAAAGTTTAAAAAATTAACTTTTACCATAAGGCAGGGGGACGCCTATTTTCTAAATATGTTAATGATGATTATTCATATTTTAAAGAAACTTTACCGAAATATATAATTGTTAATTTTTATAGTAAAAATAACCTATTGATCAATTTCACGTTTAACCAACAATCGCTTTCAATAAGAAATATACAAACATAATAAAAGAAAATAAATCAAACTAAATATAATTTAATTCTGCAATTCTGTACTATAAAAATAAATATTATTTTGAAGAAAGCGCCTTAAAAATAACAGTTTCGGACTTGACCATATATTAAATTTAAATGAACCCAATTTTAAATCGTGTAACAAAGCAATAATTGTTGAAAATATCCAATCAGATATCATGTGTCTCTGGAACGCTACATAACTGTTATTTTTGTCATAATGTTGGTAGCATTGGAGAACGTAATGTTTGATGTTTGATTTTTTGATTGATGTAACGCGCATCCCACCAGGTGTTTTTTAGTTTATAAACAAAGTGATTAGATAATTTTAAAACAATCATTTCTGCAAATTAACTGAGAATCAAGGTGTAAGAAGTGTATATTCAATTTATTTTTCGTAATAATGGAGCCCACTTCGCCATGGAAAAGGCCCAGCGATGTAATGAGACTGCACAAGATGAAAAAACGAAAAATAGCGTTACAGGTATTGTATTAAAGAATTTTATGGTTAAAAATAACAAAATAGAAGCAACAAATAATTTATTAAATACATCATCTTTACTTATACTAGTACGCTACTTTTTTTACTGTGCTAACAAAAACAAAACACAGTCAACTCAATCAATTTGAAAATAGTTGTTTCTTAACACAATCAGAGAATATAAATGAACAATGATCAAAATTAAACGTAATATGCATTAAAACAACTTGACCTATTTCTTTTATTTATAATCAATGCATAACCTACATGCACACCTGTTTGATTCAATTAAAGCTGCTGATGTGCCGAAACAGTTAATGTTCCCTATAATACTCTCACTTGTAATAGCTAATTCCAACTACTGTCGTAATGCTAATTTAAGCTATCCATTCCTACCATATATTATTAAAATATTCCTATGTTTTAAGAAACTAGTGAAATTTTACTGTTACATGGTATTCGTGCACTTCTGCTTATTCCTTTGGAGAATAAAAGGCTCTATTAATGTCTCTATTAAAAGCTCTATTTGTCCCTTCTTACATAAACAATATTGAATATAAATGTTATGTCTAAACAAGTGTTTTTACTTCTAGGAACGCATGAAGCAACCATCTCAGCCAGCTGCAGAGCCATCAAGCAGTCAAAAACATGTTGATTTAGATTTTTCAAGATTATTAGAGGGAGAGAAAAGGAAAAATCCATTTTCGAAGTGAGTCTCATACATATCATTAACACAATAACAATATAGATTAGAATAAACTTTATTGTGCACCAAAATATTAGTCTTATGTTAACATTATACAGGTGTAAATTAGATGTTCCTGAAAAGCTGACAACAAGAAATAGTTTTAACAGTTTTAATCATTTTTGTTTCTGTGTTATTCATGCAATATCAGCCTTGAGCAGTTGAATACAATTATATAAACTATACAACTATTATTACATAGAAGAAACATTAAAATCCTTATTTATATATTATGAATAATAAACCTGTTTTTTACCATCACTTTTCAGAGTTTTCCGGTAACCTTCCATTTACACCCTGTATAGCTATAGACAACAAAGTCCCAAATAACATGGTTCAAAAGCATTTCTTTTCTACATTTTATTTACACATACAAAATTAAAAAACTGAACATGCATGTGTAACATTTATTTTACAATGTTTTACTAAATAATCAATGTCACATGTCCAGGAATAAGCCACAAGAAAAAAAGCCAAGATTACAAGTAGATGATCAACTAGATGAGTCCAATGACAAGACGCTGTACGCTTTACTGAACCTGCCAGCTAAAGTACAGGAGAAACCAGTCAAAGATTTAGACACGGAGAAATTGTCCACATTCTCCAATCTATTACAGAAGTTCACAGCCGAACATTCTGTGGAGCCTGTAAGTAGTATTTCATATTTGCTCAGTTCTATTTTTGTAAATGTAAGTTCCTTCCTTATACAGCAAAGTATTAATGTGTCAATTTCGGAAAAACATTGAGATGTTTGTAAATAACTTTTTACATTATTAGGTCTCAATAAACATCAATATTATGCAAGTCTCATAATTCTAAAACGGCACAATATTTGTTATATTTGTTGTGTAGTAAAAGACACCTCAATTTTTTCCTTTCTTATGTACCAGGTCTTTCATATGATATGAACAGGTAACTAGAAAAACTACTTAATATTTAATTTACATGTAACTCTAATATATATTGCAGAAAATAGTAATAAAATTATTTTTTTACTTCTTTAGATTCCTGAGAAGAAATACAAGCATATACCCATTGATTGGGCGTTAAAAACTAAGTTACGATTAATGTCACCAAAGCCATTTGCATGGACTTCTAAGTTAAAAGCAAGTGAAGAAGCTTCAGGGATAACTGGGTAAGTTAAAAAACAAGACAAAAATGTTTGAGCTACTCTATTGTAGTTGTACTATAGTGTAGACCTTTATAATGTCTTAGTGTAATAGTTAGTACCTACCATTTTACCAAGGCAATTTGAATTAAATGTAACAACGATTTGGCATTTTCATTAGAATCTTACAATTAATTGTGAGTGGCAGGTCAGGTAGTAATTAACAATTAATTACATTACATAATATACATAAGACATTTAAAATTAATTAGAAATCAGTATTTTTGACTGTTTGTTTTACAAAACAAAGGTGATTGACATCTTTATAATATTTTAAATGAAGTTATCAATGCTCACAAACCAAATGAAGAGTAGATATAAATAATAATTCATTACTTATCATCAAAATGCAGAAGTTTGTTAGAGCCTTATCATTTTTTTATCAAGTCCCTGCACAAAATACATACCTAACTGCACTTTATAAATGAAATATTGCTATCAAAACATAGATGAGATAAAATATGTTTTTCCCTGGAAATGGAGAACAAGTGTAATTTGAAACACCTCACCAGCACACATGCCAAAGTCTAAATATCACGCTTTGGCGTAGTGTGAGTGATGATGTGCGAGTTTAAAACTCAGTAATAGCCCAGTGCATGGTATATATGCTCGTGTGCCTTACCCAGGCCAGATGTTATCGAAAATGGTAATTTAAATCTTATAGACAATTAGTTGTGCGGCTTCTGTAATTGTTGCGCACATTTTTAAATTTGTTGCGCTTATAGTTATTTAATTATTTCACAAAAACATTTCCTGCTGGGGTAACATTACCCCAGCCAGACCTTTTTCTTTCTAATGGGAACATTTGTATTTGTTCTTTTATCGGTTGCGAAATTATTCGAGATTCTGCTGGGGTAACGTTTTTGGTTTTGCTAGATCTTTTACAAAATATGATAAGAATCCGCTTAACCTGAGCACCTAGCTTCACCTAGTTTCACTGACGGACTGACTGACAGACTATTATTTATTTTGTATTTGTTGACGTTTCAAAAGTACCAAACTATGGTTTAATTGAAATAAATGCTTTGACTTTGACCATTTTAAAGATCTAGCAAAACCAAAATCGTTACCCCAGCAGATCTCGAATAACTTCGGAACCGATGAAAGAACAAATACAAAATAAGACACAACATTTACTTCACCTAAACAACAAATTTTATAACTATTCATTATTTAATATTCCCTTTAGAAAGAAAAAGGTCTGGCTGGGGTAAAGTTACCCCAGCAGGAAATGTTTTGTGAAATAATTAAAAAATTATGTATGCAACAAATTAAAAAATGTGCGCAACAATTACAGAAACCGCACAACTAATTATCTATAAGATTCAAATGACCATTTTCGACAACATCTGGTCTGAGTAACTTAAACTATAAGCTCACACACCATCGCATGATGAGGACTTTGGATTAATGTCGAGAAGTGCATTAAATTGTAAATCTCAAAAATGTATGTGCAACTGTACCTATCTTCTTCATGGAATAAATGTAATGTTGTGTTATGCTCAATAAATAATTCCTTCCAGCTTCGTCCGCTGCCTCGACACGACCACATCGCCCACGTTGGACACGTCACCGCGCGCTCGCTTCCACCAAGCATGCCTTTACTGGCAGCACCCACACCTGCCCTGGCTGGACCTATACCCTCGGTCCTCGGGGAAGGTCGCAGCGACCAGCTTCATGGCAACTAATGAAGATGTCAAGCAAGCCCTACATAGAGAGTGGACGGAAAGCTTTAGATCATTATTCCAGGTAATATTTTGTGAAAAAATAACAGCTAAGAACATAACTGTGTTTTAAGAAACTTTGCAAGTTTTCGATGCTTACAAAGTCTTCAATATGCCAATGAATAGATCGCCAATCTTACATGAAATCGTCTTCCCCATAAGTTTGCATAGTAAATAGAATATATACCCTTTTGGACACATCTATTGGCCCACCTTAGAGTTTAGGTTTCGATGGCCCCTACCGAAATATGATTGCTAGATGAACAAAAACTGTTGATGCAGTTTTAAACCTGATACATTTTACCATCTTTTTCGATCGTATTGTTTTAAATTGAATTCAGAATACCATATGACATGGAGCTACGCCTAACAAATCGGATAAGCGCCTTGTTAAAGGCAATTGATTTTTGAATAAAAAACATGTTTTATCAAATAAAGGTTTGAATTAACAACGTGTGTTGCCTCCATGGGCATCTACCACAGCTCTCATACAATTAGGCTTAGAGTTTATGGATGGCTCTATAAAATTTTGAGGGATCATCTCCCATTCCTCTTTTATGGCAGTTTTCAACTCCTGCATCGTCTGGGCATCTGGCTGACGAGCCCTAACACATCTTTTTAGCTCGTCCTACATGTGCTCAATGGGGTTCATGTCTGGGCTTCTGGCTGGCCAGTCCGTAACTGTGATGTTCACATCCCGAAGATATTCCCTGACGATGCCGGCCGCATGAGCTCTTGCATAATCATGGATAAAAAGGAAATTTGGGCCCACATAGGCCGCGTATGGTATCACGTAAGGTTATAAGCACTCACGAATGTACCTTACAGCATTTAGTGTTGGCAGCCCCACGGCTACACTAACTTGAGGTTATTACAGGACCACTTCTGTAACAACCTCAAATTGAGTTTTGCCTCTCGCAGATATACCGCCCCAGACATTCCATGAGCCACCGCCATAAGCAAACCTCTCTTCAAAGCAGCATTGTGCGAGACGCTCTCCCTTACGTCATATTAAGTTTATACTTCATTCTTCCAGTTGCTACGTGCGCGTCATTGTCCGTACTTCTACGTGTGTGCGAATACGTTCACGTGTCTGTTCCGTGCGGCGGGAGTGTGTGGCGTGTCGGAGCCTTGCGTGTTGATCGCACCCACTACGAGAGGATTCCGGCAAACTCTGCGACAGGAAGGTAAATAGAACTTCTATAGTTTCATCAGCTTGGTACTAAAATCTGGTACCTATGTGATGAGTCCCTATTTACCTTTTAAACTCATACTAAATTGCCACCCGTCACTTCGAACATGATCTTCAGTAATTTTTGAATCTCTTACAAAATGTAAAAAAAATAAATATACTATAATTAATACTTACTGTAATCCTCAGATGTGGAATACACGATGCCACTACGGCCAGACAGCAAAAAGAAGCTAAACACGTCAGATGAAGACAGACCAAAGAATGCGTCGTTCGACAGTTGTTACGACACCATGGACGACAAGATGTCGCAGGATGGACAGGACAAGAAGGAAGACGAGGACGATGATGATCCCGACCAGTTCCTCTCACAAATGGGCTTCGAAACTGAAGTTATTAAGAAAATTAATATTACGCAGGTAAGTCATTAAAGATGCTTTTGAACTCTAGTCTTGAGTTAAATATCACTATGTATCGAGTCCTAGCTTTGCGTCTGTGTAGTCAGAACTATAATAAATCATAGAGTAATCAGATAGTTGTATAATGTTTAGGTTGGGGACCCCCCTGGAGTATTAAGGCAGCGAGTCCCCCTATTCACGACTATATATCTATTTTTAAAACTTATCGCGTTCATATAACAATACGCAAAGATTTATTACGATAAAATCTAAATTTTGGTTTTTTGACTCTTCCAGGCTCGAATAACCCACAGTGCAGAAAGCAGTGTGGACAGCGCGGCGGAGTCACTTGTATTCGTGCGAGGGGCAGATGCGCAGGCATTGTTCAATTTTTTACTCAACTGCAAGTCCATTGTGAGCCCCACCGGGCCGTTCGCGGGGGTACCGCCTACTTTATTATCTCCGACGGCCTTCCATGGAGGGACACTGCAGTCTTTGAAAGTAAGTTCTCAATACATAATTACCTATTCGCTACTAATTTTATCTACTCACTGACATCTTAAAAAACTACGTATTGTTAACTTGAGCGTGAATAACTTAAATTGCTTGTGTCATCATCATTATCAGTCCAGGTTCACCCACTGCTGGATAAAGACCTCTGCCTTTGCCAGCTATACTTCTAGGTGTTTTGCATTCCTCATCCATCATTTCCGGCTATTCTGACAATATCGTGTGCGTTACTCAGGCCAGATGTTGTCGAAAATGGTTATTTGAATCTTATAGATAATTAGTTTTGCGGCTTCTGTATTTATTGTGCACATTTTTAAATTTGTTGCGCTTATAGATTTTTAATTATTTCACAACAACATTTATTGTTAGGGTAACGTTACCCCAACCAGACCTTTTTCTTTCTAATGGGAATATTTAAATAATTAATAGTTAAACAATTAGTTGTCTAGATGAAGTATATGTTGTGCCTTATTTTGTATTTGTTCTTTCATCGGTTGCGAAGTTATTCGACATTTTACTGGGGTAACGTTTTTGGTTTTGCTAGATCTTTGATTATGGTTAAGCGGATTCTTATCATATATTGTATGTACATGGCTTCTTAGGAATTAGTTAATTTGTACTGCAATATAAAAACCAAAATAATACATAGCTTAAAGGCTTTTTCATCAAATAGAAAAACACAAGAGCTCTAAAGACTTACTTTAAACGTTATTTTAAAGCTCGTAACTGCCTTCAAATGTATGTGAAGTTTCATTAGTATCCTGTAAGTATTTAACAAGTTATGATGATATTGAGTTCTTCACTAGCACGGTCTTGATGCGCGCAATGTTATTTTTCCACTGGATTGGATATATAAACTGAATGTTATGTCAATAATTAGTTGTTTAGTTTAGTTGTACATCCAGTCAAAAAAGTATTGGGAATGGATAATTTCTTTATGGTTTCAAATTCAAAAATTTGTTTTTTGGTAGTTCTAAGATTGGCACAACTGTTTTCCATTTTGGCGCGGAGTTTGAGTTGCATCTGTTTTTGCATCGCCTATGGAATTTCGTGTTCGGAGTCACTGAAAATGTTACAGAAGGGTTACGGTTCAAAGCGTTCAAAAGCGGTCGAGATGTGATGGAAAATTTGCCTCGCTCTGGTAAGCCGTCAACATCTGCAACTGAAGTTAACATCGCAAAAGTGCAGGAAATAGTGACTGAAAATCCCCATTCAACTCTGAGAGAGATAGCCGCTGACCTTTGTGTATCTCACGAGTCGATCCGTACCATTTTAATTAATCAACAAATTTTATAACTATTAATTATTTAAATATTCCCATTAGAAAGAAAACGGTTTGACTGGGGTAACGTTACCCCAGCAGGAAATGTTTTTGTGAAATATTTAAAAAACTATAAGCGCAACAAATTTAAAAATGTGCCCATAATTACAGAAGCCGCACAACTAATTATCTATAAGATTCAAATGACCATTTTCGACGACATCCGGCCTGGGCAGACGCATACGACAATATCTATTCTCTGTTATGACTTCAAAAATGTAGATACTTATTACTTAATTTTAACCCTCAAAATATTTATTCCACAGGTGCGTGAAAACACAATACATTCCGATAGTAATAAGTACTACTCAATAGAACTGCGCGGCCCGATACTGCCGACAACAGTACATACTTTGTTCAACGTGTTGAAGACCAGTTCCTCGGCGCAGTTCAGTGCCACCTTCGCACATCATCAGCCCACGCTGGCTTTTTCATGGGCCGCCCGTAATATAGCTGAAGGTACTTATTAATTACATTTTTTTATGCGATTACGCGGCAAACGAGCACTCGGATCACCTGATGGTAAGCAATTGGCGCCGCCCATGAACACTCGAAATACCAGAGAAGTTTCAAACCGGTCCTTTGAGAATTAGGGCTTTGTTTAAGGGATAGATATAATAGGTACTTTCTGTTGTGTAATCTTTGATGAAGAAATACATTAGAAAACAACGCCATAAGAGCTAGCTTAAAATTGTTTGCTCTCGAAATGATTTCTAAAGCTCTTTTTAACTATATTAATTTGAATAATAATCTCTATTGCAGATGAATCTTCAAAAGAAAACGAGCCAAACCACTTTACCAAAGCATTTAACAAGGAGAACCTCTCAGACTGTGGTATCAGTGAGGAGATGTTGCAACACTTCTGTTCATCAGACCCTGATGTCGTGAAACCTTTAGACTGTGTCAAGTATAACACGGAGGACGACACTTACATGTGGTGATATTGTGTCTAGTATTTATTGTTTACTGTTTGTTTGTTATATTCATATTGCAATCATGAATTAAATCATATTTTTGATATGTATGTTTGTTTTTCTGTAGTTAGGTTCCCTTTTGTACAAAAGTTTCTTTAACGCATTCACTGCCCAGTGGATTTTCTCCAGTGCCCGAATTATAAGACATCCTACAGTGCCCCGCACGCACTATTGCGTTCAATGTTTGCCCTTTTCGTGTGCCGGAAACTCATATACGCGTTCTTACGGCTCCCACCGTGTGCCCGAAACTCATATATGCGTCCGTTCGACTCTCGGCGAGTGCCCGTGACGCGTCTGTGCGTTTGTTATATACTTACGAAAATACGATAGAATATTATGTATCTGTAGATAAAAGTTAGGGTCATGACACACTGTAATGGAATTTATAATCCATAAGATTATTTATTTTATGTAGTGAAATTGAAAAAATTATCTAAATATAAACTAAGGATGAACGTAATAATTCTATAGTTGGTAAGTAGGTTTATATTTAGAACATTGTTGTATTTTAACCGACTTAAAAAAAATGAGGTTCTCAGTTTGACCTGTATGTTTGTTTGTACGCGATTATCTCGCGATTGGTTGAACCGATTTTGATGCGGTTTTCAGAAAAACTTCTGTTACATTTAGGGGATGGGTTTAGTATACTAATTAACCTACTTCAAAAACAGGAGGTTGATGTTGGATTTTTAAACGTATGTCACGACGCGATGCCAGTATATACAAATTATAGTCTTTCACCATAGATATTTAGTAAGGTACTTATTATCTCGTATAGGTTTATCCTAAAACATTTCGATAGTTGGCTATAGCGTCTGGTGGATATAGTATTTAAAATCTTCAAAGGCACCGCCGTGCATTGTATTGCCGTTATCAGCAAACTAATGTGATTTTATTGTGCGTATGTAGATAAGAGTCATATGAAATATTAGGTTTCTTGGAAAAACAATTAGGTATCTAGGTAGATTTTGGCTTTAGCTCTCGTGGTATTTAAAATCTTCTAAGGCACCGCCGTGCATTGTATTGCCGTTATCAGCAAACTAATGTGATTCTATTGTGCGTATGTATGTGTTATGTGAAATTTTAGGTTTCTTGGAAAAAAAAGAGATGATCGAGATAACATTGAAAAAAAATACCACCAAAGGTGATCGTAGTCTTACGTGGATATTTCTTTTTTCAATTGTTCTTAGTATATTTATATTTCGAAACGGCTGAACAAAATTATTGATTATTGCATTGGTAGTAGTAGAATAAGTTTTTTTTATAATTCGTACAAAGTGTGTAATGACCTTTATCAAAGAAATCAGATAAGGAAGTACATATGTGTAAATATGGGTTTCGAAACAATAGACCCTCGGACGCGTCGACGGGCAGCAGGTAAAAAAAGGGTCAAATGAATAGAACGCATATTTGAGTCCCGGGCACATAGCGTCGTGTCACAAAACGCACAGACGCGTCATGGGCACTGAATGCGTTAAAGTACAGCTTCTTTAAGGAGTAATACCTATAACATCACGCCTTTTATCCCCGAAGGGGTGGGCAGAGGTGCACATTATACCACTGTACAATGCAACACCCACTTTTCACTATTTATGTTATGAGTCCCATGTAATAGGATAATAATAGGGGGTGAGCCTATTGCCATATACCGGGCACAATTCCAGACTCCGTGCTACTACTGAGAATATTTAAAAACCCAGTAATACTTTGCCCGACCAGGGAATCGAACCCGAGACCCCTTGCCCGGCAGTCGCACTTACGACCACTCTGCCTTACCTTATAGGTATTATGCCTACATATATTATGTGGGGATAAAATAAAGTGTATAAAAATAAAATACACGAACAATCACTTAAACGATACGATTTATTCAATTTTCATTTTTGGTAAATTAAAAATAGGTTTTCTTAAAATTCCACAATCACTTACACAATAAACAAGATTCATACAGATCAGGATGAAATAAATAATATTGTGAGTTCTGCATCAAAATGACGTAGTATTTGTATATGTTACCTAACTGCACTAATATACTAAGATTATCACTTCAAACCCAAGGTGGAACAGGAATCTTGGAAAGATTACATCTAACATAATTCATCTATGTGACCAATTAGCCGCTCACTAAAACAAATAATTTATATTTCATTATTACATCATACACGCTACTACATTCACCACTGTATCGTAAATTAACTACTAATGTATGTTAAATTGCTAATTATTGAAAGATACAAACTATAAATTTATTATTTTTAAGTGAAAAGAGAAATATTTAATACCTGCAAAATTTTTTCAAGTCGAATTATGTTGTTATAAATTATGAAGCTTATGATTTCTGAAAAAGAAAAGAAACAAATTATTAGAGAGAATCAATAACAACGCAAATTGTTATTTAATATTGTAAGGCAGCATAAGATTAGATGCTCACATTGGAGGACCCGCTGGAAGTAGGTTGTCCGGGTACTGAGTACTGCGGGCGGAAGTTGGAGAAGTTGGCCGCAGCCGCTGCCGCCGGGGAGAACCCGGGCAGGGACCCGCCCGACTGGAAGCCAGCCGGGAACTGTGCCATTTGCGCTGCAACACATATTAATAGATTAGTACAAAATACAAAAGTACCTAAAGAATCAGAGTTATTGTTATGCATTATCTGTGCCCAATGAAAGAACCATGTAAGTTTAAAAGGTACTTAAATAAACTGAACTATTTGACCCAACCGACTTTGTTCTCCTACTACACTCTGATTGTCTGTCTTTCTGATAAATATCTTGCTCAAACTACAATGAATGCTAAACATAATTAGACAAGTACAACCATTCGTGAATTTTTAATACACTTAACGCATTCAGTGCCCATGACGCGTCTGTGCGTTTTGTGACACGACGCTATGTGCCCGGGACTCAAATATGCGTTCTATTCATTTGACCCTTTTTTTACCTGCTGCCCGTCGACGCGTCCGAGGGTCTATTGTTTCGAAACCCATATTTACACATATGTACTTCCTTATCTGATTTCTTTGATAAAGGTCATTACACACTTTGTACGAATTATAAAAAAAACTTATTCTACTACTACCAATGGAATAATCAATAATTTTGTTCAGCCGTTTCGAAATATAAATATACTTAGAACAATTGAAAAAAGAAATATCCACGTAAGACTACGATCACCTTTGGTGGTATTTTTTTTCAATGTTATCTCGATCATCTCTTTTTTTTCCAAGAAACCTAATATTTCATATGACTCTTATCTACATACGCACAATAGAATCACATTAGTTTGCTGATAACGGCAATACAATGCACGGCGGTGCCTTTGAAGATTTTAAATACCATATCCACCAGACGCTATAGCCAACTATCGAAATGTTAATGTATAGGATAAACCTATACGAGATAATAAGTACCTTACTAAATATCTATGGTGAAAGACTATAATTTATATATACTGGCATCGCGTCGTGACATACGTTTAAAAATCCAACATCAACCTCCTGTTTTTGAAGTAGGTTAATTAGTATACTAAACCCATCCCCTAAATGTAACAGAAGTTTTTCTGAAAACCGCATCAAAATCGGTTCAACCAATCGCGAGATAATCGCGTACAAACAAACATACAGGTCAAACTGAGAACCTCATTTTTTTTAAGTCTGTTAAAATACAACAATGTTCTAAATATAAACCTACTTACCAATTATAGAATTATTACGTTCATCCTTAGTTTATATTTAGATAATTTTTTCAATTTCACTACAAAAAATAAATAATCTTATGGATTATAAATTCCATTACAGTGTGTCATGACCCTAACTTTTATCTACAGATACATAATATTCTATCGTATTTTCGTAAGTATATAACAAACGCACAGACGCGTCACGGGCACTCGCCGAGAGTCGAACGGACGCATATATGAGTTTCGGGCACACGGTGGGAGCCGTAAGAACGCGTATATGAGTTTCCGGCACACGAAAAGGGCAAACATTGAACGCAATAGTGCGTGCGGGGCACTGTAGGATGTCTTATAATTCGGGCACTGGAGAAAATCCACTGGGCAGTGAATGCGTTAATAGATTTATATAAAAAGAGAGAAAACCGTCAATTAAAAAGTTTAAATAACAAAAAAAATATGTTACCAGCTGGCACGGGGTTGCCGGCGGTGGCAGCTAGTCTCGACAGGATGGACCTCTCCGACATCTGCAGTCGTTGCGCTACTGGCGGGATGCGCGCTAACGTCGCAGGCAAGCGGGATACGTCCGACTTCATGTCCGATAACAGCTCCTCCAATTGATTTAGTACCTAAAGAAAAAATACAATAAACATTTTTTGTATTCCAAACATGTGTTCCATACCATGCGTGTTTAATTACTAAAGTTTTGTAACTAGTTCTGTCCAGTAAAAACTCAAATTCAATCGAACTATCAACTTACAGGCAGTCTCGAATATTTGTACATCAAGACTGCCTAATATAGTTGTGTTAGGAACTGAATATGAAGAACAATTAGCTTAATTGCAAAAATAAGAATAAAGTAATAGCTTAAAAGTCATTGGACAAATTAATAGAAAGAATGAAAGAAAAACTGTTTATGCTACGGTGTGCAACAGTCACAAAGTACAATAACACACAAAAAAAATTAATACAGTGAAGACGGCGCAAAAAGGCCAGAGCTCAGCTTAAATGCCGTGACCCGAGTGCGCTAATACTAATACAACTTCTATAAAAATCACCTCGTTCAGTAATGCAACTTTTAGATTTTACATTGCAAAAGTATCTTCCATCTCATTCTTACCTTGTGCAATACAGCATTAGCTGGTTTGTTGCCAGCCAGTGACTCCTTGCTGAGGTGTTGATGTGACTCGGCCAAGCATTCGACCTCTGCGAAGCGCGCATTCAGCGACATGGCAGGGTGGTTCGGATCCTGGGTCAAGTTCAGGTATGCCGCACGACGAAGTTGTTCCTCAATCACTAACGCCTGTTCTAGGAGCTGCAAGTAATTTGATTCAGATTTTAGTTGTTGCGATGAAACTGCGTGCACTAACATATCAGTTCCAAGAAGGGTCTTACTCTGTAAGAAGGTCCATGCGTCGACAAAGTTAATGTTATATCTGGCTAATTCTACAATAACAAAAGTTAGTGAAACTCACCTTGAAACGTCTAGCTAGAAATTTGTTCTTAATTTCCAAGAAGTTCCCTTTGCCGACATCCATCTTGAAGGGCTCGTTGATGATGGCGAAGCGCAGATCGTTCTGTATGTCCTGCCACCGGCCGTAGCCGTGCGTGACGATGCCGGCGAGCAGCCAGTAGTCGTGGCGGCGATGCCAGATCTCGTACTCGCGGCCGGGCGCGGCGGCGCGCTCCTCGTTGAGCCACAGAGTGTGGAGCTCCGTGAACCCTCCGTCTGCGATATTGAACATAAACTTGCGACGCTCCACCTTTAGATCTTCATCTTCTTTCACTAGTACTACGTCGTCGTCGTCATCATCCTGCGAAAATATGCATTGTTTTTTATTTACTTACACACTTTACAGTTTTTAGAAATGAATTAATTAGAGAGAGAATTTTTTACGCTATTAATATTATAAAAACAAATTATTTACCTTCTTTTCATCCTTGGGCTTCTCAGATGCCTCTGACTCGGCCTTATCACTCTTAGCGTCTTCTTTCTTATCTACATCGTCCTTGTCTTCCTTGACCTTCAGTTCCTTTTCCTCTTTCTTGTCATTTGACTTCTCGTCGTCCTTGGGCTCCTCGTCCACCGACATGCGTCTCTCGCCATCCTTACTGTCCTCTGATTTATCTTTAGGTGATTCTTTTTCATCTACAGTTTCTTCTTTGATGTCACTTGTATCCATCGGCTCGTCTTTTTCTTTGACATCCTTTTCTGATTTTTCCTCTTTAATCTCTTCTTTGTCGTCTTTCTCAGAGCCACCAGGAGTAGCAGCCTGTCCTAACGTCTGAGCAACCTGTGTAGGTGCCGGGGAGGGTGCGGCCGACGTGATCGGTGTCGCCGTGGAAGGCGCGGGGGACGGCGCCGCACTCTCTCCCGTAGTCGACTTCACAGGTTCCACAGGCTTGCGAATCATCTCTGGCATACTGTAATACCCATTAATATGTTCGAATTCTTGCACTTTCTTCCTAATTAAACTCATCACTCCGATTCGCGTCAACACGTGTTGCCTGGACAAGCCCTCTCTCGGTACGCCGTCAGCGAAGTTCTCGGCGTTATCAGCCCCGGGCTCGCAGAGATGCCTCATAAAGAGCGAGACGTAGGCCTTGAAGTTCCGTTCGGACTTGCCCCGGAGATCACGTACGAGCCACTGCGAGTTGAACGCGTCCTGCGGCGGCATGCCATACCGCATGATGGCGTTGAGGAAGGACTTGCGCTGTCGCGCGTTGAAGCCGAGCACCTCCATGTTCCCCCCGACGCGCGCCAGTAGCGGCGGCAGCGGCCGGTCGCGCTCGTCGCGTCGCTCGAGGCGTCGCTTGCTGCGCCGGCTGAGGAGCTCGCCGTTGTCGTTCTTCTCATCGAAGTCATCATCCTCCTTGTCGTCCTCGCTGCCCTGGGAGAAGTCGGAGTTGTAGTCCGAGCCGTTCTCCTGCCACGTACTATCCTCCCTGTTCTCTGTTTGTGCGACGATACCATCGTTATAGTTGACCTGTTTGCGTACTCGCTTGCCTTTGCCCAGAGTTCTGGCCTGGTCTTCTTGATGCTGTTCGTAATGATGCCTGAGCAGTTTGATCCAGTACGCGGGGTCGGTGTTCTCAGCTTCTTGTTTAATGATTTCCGTGTCCACTTCTTCCTCGCCGTCACCTTCCTTTGTTGAATAACTAGCAACTTTGAACGAACTAAGGTACTCATTGGCCCACGATTCTTTCTGTTCTATACCTTCCTTGGAACGATCTAACAGCTCTCCGACAGCCTTATCGTCGTAATGAATAGCTTCCTCTTTTCCTTCTTCTTCTTTGAACAATTCCTCAGTACCAAACCTCAAGATGTCGTCCAATTCTTGTTTAGTAAAGTTAGCGCCTTTACCGCCCATTCCTGGCCGTACGACCAAGTGAGTCAACATCATTTTCCTTTTAGCTACCTGTGTAACTCTCTCCTCGACACTGTTGCGCGTTACGAAACGGTAGATCATGACCTTATTGGCCTGACCGATACGATGCGCACGCGAGAACGCCTGGATGTCGTTGTGGGGATTCCAGTCGGAGTCATAAATGATGACAGTGTCGGCTGTGGCCAAGTTAATACCCAGACCACCAGCCCGAGTCGACAGTAAGAACACAAACTGTTGTGCGCCAGGTGCATTGAACCTGTCAATAGCTTCCTGACGGATTGTACCGGTAATACCGCCGTCAATTCTTTCATATTTATAACCTTCTCCCTCCAAGAAATCTTCGAGGATGTCCAACATTTTTGTCATCTGAGAGAAGATTAGCACTCTGTGTCCTTGTTCCTTGAGTTGCCTCAACATTTTTGACATGAGAACTAGTTTGCCCGACGCCTTGACTAAAGCCTGTGTATCATAGTTTCCGTGAGGGCCAAGCGGAGCTTCCTCGGCTGCCACCGGGAACAGGTAAGGATGATTACAGCACTTCTTTAGATCCATCATGACGTTAAGTAGTGAGACAGTTTGTCCACCGCTCTTGGGGTTCAAGGCCTCGTAGTTCCTCGTCAGAATATACTTGTAGTACTTCTTCTGCATGGGTGATAACTCTACTCGCACAATAAACTCTGATTTGGTAGGCATGTTCTTGAGTACATCAGCCTTGAGACGTCGCAGCATGTGCGGACCCAACATCTCGTGAAGCCTCTTCACCTGCTCTTCCTTAGACACGTCGGCAAATTCATTCTGGAATGCGGCGAGATCATTGAATTTGTCTTTATTTAAGAAATTTAGCAGATGGAACAATTCTTCCAAATTGTTCTGTAATGGTGTTCCAGTAAGTAGTAGTTTGTAGTTGATGTGGTAACCAGCCAACAGCCTGAAGAACTTTGACTGATTACTCTTGAGTCTGTGCGCCTCGTCTACCACTAGCACCGACCATTCTATAGACCCCAGGCAGGTAGCGTCAATAGATATCAACTCGTAGGATGTTAGAAGTACGTTGAATTTAACTTGGGACTTGATCTTAGAAGGTCGACCGCCCCTGTTGGCGCCATCATCGAAAGTCAGTTCATTTTCTCTGATGACGGCCCTGGAGTCTTTATCGCCGACGTATGTAATACAATAGAGATCAGGGGCCCACAATTCGAACTCTCTCTCCCAGTTGATGATAGTGGAGAGAGGTACTGATACAAGGAAGGGGCCCTTGCAGTGTCCTTCCTTGAATAGAGAGTAAAGGAATGTGACAGTTTGAATAGTTTTTCCGAGACCCATCTCGTCGGCAAGAATAGTGTCGATGCCTTGTCCCCAGGAGTACCGCAACCAGTTGAGACCTTCCAACTGATATGGATGGAGCTGCATGCCAGTTTCATATACAAATGGTGGCTGGTCTTCGTACTTCTTGTTGAGGTTAGTGGTGGGGCGGTCTGGCGGTGGGTTGTATTTCTTCGGTTTCATCTGCAGAGCGCCGCTACTGTCGTCCTCATCTATTATGTCCTTGTTCTTACTCTTACGTCCTGCCTTCTTCCCTTTAGTTCCCTTTGTCTTGCCTTCAGAAGTAATGTAGGCTCGCATATCCTGAAATTGAAAAGCGGAAACTATAAACCTGGTGTTCCGATAAGATATCACGAGAACCTAAATGATTTATTGTGAACAAACAGACACTTTTAGTGGAAGACTACCAATACTAACCTGATAATATTCAATGGCATTCTTGAGGCCAGCAATGTCTGCATTCTCAGACTCCCATGTGGCCTGGTCGTATGACAGATCCCTCCACTTGACGAGGTAAAACGTGGTCCCGTCGCGCGACGTGCGGTGATTGATCACTCGGTGCACGACCAACCACTCCGGCTTCACGCCATATCTAAAAAACAATTTTATTAGAATAGTGAATTGAACGATACAATAGTGAATGTTGTTTTCAGAGCAGAATAATTGTGTTATGTAAATCTGAGTGTTTGGTGTGGTTTGTCGGAGAATAATATAAATACGATGCTTTGAATAGGTTTGTACAGTTTTACAGGAATTAGCAAAGATAATATTCACGGTTCTGACATTTTAATTTCTTTTAAAATCACTAAACCAATAGGTTTGTGCAGTTTTACAGGAATTAGCAAAGATAATATTCACGGTTCTGACATTTTAATTTCTTTTAAAATCACTAAACCAATAGGTTTGTGCAGTTTTACAGGAATTAGCAAAGATGATATTCACGGTTCTGACATTTTAATTTCTTTTAAAATCATTAAACTAGGCCATACGAAATCAATCTCCATTATGGTGAACTCTTAGCACCAATATCAGCAAATCAGAGAGTCATCTTACCTGTAATACTTCTCCTCAAGTAATTTCTCATCAGCATCCTGATCCTGCTTGTCCCGGAGCCTCTTGACTCGTCCGTCACGTTCATCCAAAGGCTCCTCTAGTTTAGGTGGCTCCTCCAGGTCTGACTTCCGCATGTAATACCGGTACATAAGCGGGTGGAACACGTCCAACTGAAATGTTAAAAGTGAGTATAAATAACGTCGCTACTTTCAAACGACAGAAAGTACTCGAGACATAATATTGTAATGTTGTTGATAGTACAATAACAGTCCTTTTAGTTAGGGTGAAATCAATATTCTATAAAAGTGTTTTCTGGTAATTTTTCAAATAATTAATTAATTTTTTTACTTTCCCCACTGACGTTGATGCGATGAAGAATTTTTCGATGCTTTATGTAAATAGTTGTTTTTGTTTTTCTTTTAATTAGTTTTAATCTTAAATTGTATATATTTAATTTAGTAATAGTTAGTTTTAAGTTTTTATGTGAATAAATGATTATGATTATTTTTCAAATAATCGGAATAATAGTTATCAAGTCTTACACAGACATCTGCTCTCAACACTCGCTAAACATATATACCATATTCTTAGTTACACAAGTAGACCATTTTTTATGTGTAAGGAACTTTCACTCACCTGTAGTTCAGAAATCCAGCTGCAATGCCAGTAGGACCTATCGTGCCACTTGACGAAGAACTCTCGTGAACGAGGAGCCTTCGACTTGGCCGACTGTTCCTTCCATCGCCATGTTAATATCTTCGCCACTTTCCCGTCTAACGGTGGACACTGGAAACATGTACAGTTATGTTAATTAAAGTAACATATTAGTTTCGTCATAAATGTAAACTGGATAGAAATGCTATTTAACTGTATCACATAGGGACGAAACTTTCAAAATTGCCTTAATTGAAACAAACAATTTGATTAAGACTTTTAAAAGTTTCCAATACAAAGTTTCCGAGTAATATCTATACTTACACTACATCTAGGACACTTCCACTCTCCGTCCGGCACCTCCTCAAGCGGTGGGTTGAGACAGAACCGATGGTAAGCTGAAGGGCAAGAGTCACAGCACAATAGTTCACCACCATCCTTGCAGATTCTGAAATAATTCAATGTACAATTAGTTAATAAAGGAAAGAAATTGTTGATATGAGTTTGCTTGATGGTTTAGAATAAATGTGCTGTCGAATAGCATTAAGATCATGATTCCAGCACCGGTATTTTACAAAATGTTACTACTGGTTCCTTAGTGACTGAATACAATTTTAGGATACACATGGTTTTAAATTATTAAATTTTTATTAGTTATTAGGGTCTTACCTGCAAAACTCCTGATGCTCATCATCATCTTCCTGGTCCTGGTTGCCCTCAGCCTCGCAATGTGGACAAGACCAGCGTCCCTCAGGAGTCTCCTCCAGTTCTGGTTCGAGACATACCAAGTGGTATGCTCGGGGGCAAGTATCACATAGGATAATCTCACCACCTTGTTGACACACCTGGAGAAATAATGGAGAAAAATTATATTTTATGTGTCATATGTATTATGTTGTATGTTTAAGACTACTTGGATAACAATATTATAAGTTTAATGGTAACCACACATTAAGACTGAACGGTTGGCGCGGTGGCTGGGCAACTGACTGCCGCGCAACGTGTCGCGGGTTCGATTCCCTCACGGAACAATTCTTTGTGTGATCCACAGATTGTTGTTCCGGGTCTGGGTGTCATGTGTATGTGAACTTGTGTGTTTGTAACCGCACCCAAGACACAGGAGAAAATCCTAGTGTGGGGCACGTTTTTTTTTTTTAAATTAAAAAAATAATAAAAGGTTAGATCACAATGGTTTTACCCAGACATGAGAGATTAAACGAGAGTTGTATGTAGACCAACTTGGTTCTAGTGTCTTAAACAATATGCAGTAGAGTAATAAATGGCACACAGTGTATACAAACCTCACAATAATCCTGGTGTTCATGTTCTCCCTCTGCACCATCAGGGAATTTATTTGTAGTCTTCAATTTCTTCTTCTTTTTGCTCTTATTACCAATCTTGGTCTTTGCCTTCTTTTTGGGTTGCTGGAAAATAGAAAGACCAGAATTCAGATGCAATGTAAAATTTAAACAAAAGTTTATTGTGTTTTACTACAATACATATTGTTTTAATGTCATCATCAAAATAATGTGACATCTTGGCATTGTCTAATATAAGCCGATAGATGACTAGCAAAATCAAACTTGATTTAGAAGTTTTACGTTAAAAGTTTGTAACTTACTCTATTTAAAATTAATATATTTCAAAATATTTTATAGTATAATCTTACCGGCACAGCTGGATCATCTTCCTTCTGCGGCGCTCCGTCCTCAGCTGCTGCAGCGGCTGGCTTTGGCTCGTCGGCCTCCGCCAACATCTGCTCAAACTCCGCATCCGAGTCAGAGTTTACAGCACTACCTTCCTGGTCTTCCTCCTAGTGCAAATAATAAAAATACCTATAGATTTCTGTATAGATACAAATATTTTTATCACTAAAAAGGTTATCTTAAAAGTACACTGACTACATGTAGACTTATGCATAAAGAAATTAACGAATATGGAAGAAGGGAAAATCACATTAATATTACTGGATCAGTTACAAGATCTGTAATTTCATAAAATAAGTATATTTATATATTTTTTGTGGCCGGTATATGGCAATAGGCTCACCCCCTATTACATGGGACTCGTAACATGAATAGTGAAAAGTGGGTGTTACATTGTATAGTAGCATAAAGTGCCGTAATGTGCACCTCTGCCTACCCCTTCGATAAAAGGCTAAAAAATATATAACATAACTTGATGTTATATTACATATTTTTGTGTCTTAACTGCTCAATACCCAAGCGGTCACCGGTGATCGCTCTCTACTAATTCCATTATAGACCTTATTTCCGATGTTTAGACTACTTCTGTATGAACAAATTTTGTGTACAATATATCAACCTATTAAACTGTCAAACACCAAGCGGTCTCCGGTGACCGCAACCTATTGTTCTTAAATACGGTACTCGACGAGTTAATAATTACTTTATATGTTTTATTCATGCAGTTGTAAGACGATTCAATTATAAGTAACAATGAGTGATCAATAAGATTTGCACAATATGTGGCTATGAGATAAAAATAAAAACTTAAGTCAACATTAAACTTGTTCTCTATTCATTGATAACTACTAGATGCGCGACTAACGGCATATTATTCTCCTTATTAGGTGAGTCCACAGGAAACTGCATTATTATACACTCATTATGGACCCGACTTTGACTTGAGATAGAATACAGTTTTTTTATCAACACCAAACTCATTCATGTCAACAATCCCGTGTAACAATAGTTGAGCGTGATCCTATTGTCATATACCAGGTACACTTACAAAATTCGTATATTACTGAGAATACTGGTTACAGAAAACTCAAACATGCTTTGGTTATTTGGAAACTATAATATGTCTGTAGTTGCCCTTTTTACCAACACACTTGACTTGAAGAACGTGAGCGCATAACGAGAATGAATAGACTTTGTATTCCAGACTATTATCTTTATCTGTACCATATATCTATAAAATCAAGATTTTGCGCGAAAGAGTAAAACTGTGAAACTTTGAGCACATAAATCCTTCATAATAATATTAAAAGTACATCAGAATAGGGTGGTAATACATTGGAGAAATAGCCGAGTGTTATTAAAGATACCACGTGTCCAATAAAAAGATTATTATAACAATGGCTACTCACACTGCTAGTCCTCTTCCGCTTGCTGAATTTGATCTTCAGCGTGGGCACTTTAGGCTTGCGGCCTGGCTTCCCGCGCGGCGTAGCGGGAGTGTTGCCATGCTTCGGCTTACGTCCCCTCTTACGAGGAGCCGCTGCACCTTCGTCACTCTGTTCTTCTTCCTCCTCTTCCTCTGGTTCCTCTATTACCTCTTCATTCTGTAGAGAATTCGAAATTTAAAATTATATAATTATGGACAAATGAGCGAAACTTTAACAATATTGAGGGTAAACTGAGTCGCTAATATTGATTCGAGTTGTAATCAAGATCTCTACAGCATCTTTTTGGTATTTAAAACTTCGTTTACTTTATCGTGAATGTCAATTTATTAACACTTGATTAGTCGTGATAACTTTACCTTAACTTCTTTAGGAGTACGTCCAGGCCTGCCAGGTTTGGGCACATAGTCTGAAGTAGTGGAAGTGTTAGTATTGTCCTCGGATCCCATGGCTGGGGTACCACTGCTCAGGTGTGGGTTGGTCTCACAGAATAGACGCCATTTCGCCGCGACCAACATCATCAGTTTCGATACAGGGACCTAGACAAGAGGTACATTTGTGAGGAATTTTCATAAACATTATTCAATAGTAGTGTTAACTAGTTGAATGAGGAAGTTCTTTAGTTATTTTATCTATTACTGGATTGGAGTTATTTTGCTAGGAGGAAAATTGGCGTAAATAATATCATCGTGTTTTTTTTATTTTTCGTTTACATAGCAGGGTAAGCACATCTTTTATGGCACTCTGATGGCATTGAGACTATGTAATCTTAAATCATAAATGGCTGTCACTCCGATAGAGGTAAACACCATTGGATTGAAAAACATATTGGTCATTTTCTACTGTGTACATGAAGTACATTCTACAAAATAGTCTATAAAGCTTACCTTAGGATTCTCCTTGACGAGTAATGGCCTCACATGTTGCTGGAATAGCTTGTAGGAGGTCAAATTCTCGAGGTCCGCGTCGGAATACTGTATGTCCACATCAGAGAGCCCGAATGATGAGCACACCTCTTCCACTGTTGGCATACCTACTGTGGAAAATAACAATTAAGTTATTTATAATAATAAAAATGAAACTATATAATTATTTGTTATTGTTCACTGTCACTACAGTGAAACAAACGTCTTTTTCCAAATCTATTAAATAGAATTGAATTCATCATACTTAAAAATCATCAAAACAATAAATAGGTCATCTCGTTTTAATTAAATTTGTTTGATGTTTGCATTGATTGTTACCTAAGTATTCATCAAACAATCTTCGTCAATCTACATATTATTTAAAAAACCCGCTCAACGACCGAAAAAAGCAACCTAACACCAAAGTACGCATACCTATACCACCATAAAAAATATATATTAAAAAAAAGTAATCAGTATACTACCAACATAACAACAAAACATTACAAATCATAGACATAGATAGACGCAATAACGATCTTGATTCGTGATAGAGCACTGAGCAAGGTCATTGTAAACTTGAAGAGGTCATTGCACTACGCAATGCTAACTCCGATTTAAATAAATACATACTTATGTAGAAGATTACATTGCATTATTTATATACGAAACATATCCTGAATACTAAGTTATGTATTTTATAGAACTTTCTATAGTTCCAACAACGTTTTAATGGGAGGTTAAATTCGTATTCTTAGCAGAGCCTAAGCATAGTGTGATTAGATTTCAGTTACGTAACTTTTAATGTATGTATCGTATCATTTAGAATATTAATGCGTAATAATGTTTCATTGGAATGATGACACTTTACATTTTTATTTTTGTTATTTGGACTAATTCTTTACTTATTAATTAATGAATTATTTATACTGTTAAGATTATGATATGACGATTATTGTCTTTAGTTCTGACCAACAGTACGAGGCGTCAAGATTGATACATGTTATGATGACTATAATAATATTGAATGAATATGAAATTCCCTATTGAAACTTGCAGATTTGCAGACTGATTTCTTAGTACTTCTGTCTTAGAAATACTAGGCTAGACTACTAATAGTCGTGTCGGAAAAATCGTCAGGATTTTTTTACTGTTTTGTTATATGGAATTCATATGACACAAGTGTGAGTATACTCAAATGGGTGAGGTTTACAAACAACAACTAAAATCAGGGTTTATCCCAAATGCTTTTTTCCTGTTAAAAATTATGTCATAATTATAGTGTGGATGCAATTATTCCAGGAATATCACAACTTTTAACATATTTTAATAGCTATATTAAACCAAATAATAAAAAACATAATAATTGCCTTGGACCAAGACTATTAAAAATGTTAAGTTACTCAATAATTGCAACTAGCAGTGTTATAGATTTATTTGTATCTAAAATTTAATATCAATAATTACGGTATGTCTTAGGCTGAGAGTTATGTAAACTGACCGTTAAGGCATTAACTCATCGAGTACCGGTTTTATAGACACAATTAAAGAACAATAGGTCGCGGTCACCGGTGACCGCTTGGTGTTTGACAGTTTAAAGGTTTTTAAAGTATACCTCATTTACAAGATGTTTACATCTAGCTGTACATGTGTGTGTTATGGCGCCGACTCTTATTAATCAATGCGATGCAACTGTCTGCCCAATAAAAGCATTGTCTTTGTATGAATACATTTAATACATGTGAAACTAAATCACAGTTACATCAACATAACCACATCTGTTCGAAATTTGAAATGGATAGAGTGGTTCACTAACTTCTAGTAGTTTACAAGTCTACCACAGATAGTCATATTTTCATGATGAAGATCATGAATAAGTGTGTCATTGTGACCTGAAACTAGTGGAGTTTTTGTGGAATGGTTTAAGTTTGTCTCCATTTTTTATTACAGAGCCACAGACAGGTTAAAATAAGACATTAATTTACAAGGGTATAAAAACACTTACTGGATCCCGAATCAGAGGCAGCAGTTGCAACAGGGGTGCTGTGCTTACTTCCCCTGCCCTTTCTGGATTTCTTTGTGGAAGACATAGCACTGAGTGCATAGTCACTGTCGCCTTCGGCCTCGATCTCAACGCCGAAGTCTTCATCCTAAAAGAACAAATTATATTATTAACTAATTAAAAGGTATTATTAGTATGCAAATAAAGACTTTGAGTTTGAGTTTAAGTATTAACTCGCGGCTCATTAAAATGAAGACTATTGCTCTAAATATCGAAATATAGAAAACTTTAATAACACATTTCCCAAACTGAGGCTCTAGTGCCCCATGCTCACATGCTCTCAATAGCAGAATATGTACGAAATTTTTTTAAAGCAGTTTCAATATAAATAACTCCATAACGTCGTTTAGTAATTATCACCTCATCATAATAATATACATCAACTAATTAGTCAGTACACTCAGTATTCAATTAAATGCAATTGCAACCTGTGTTTTTAAAAACGTTAATCGACTTTAACTCTTTAAGATAACTTTGCAAGGTGTGTAACATGTTTGTTTATACAAAATCGAGAAAAGAGGTCAAAGCACTTTGCAACCTCATCTAAAAAGTATGCATGTACTCAATACTTTTTGCAGATAAAACTGTTTATAATCTATGCAAGCAATTACAGATGTTAAATAAAAAATGTAGAACAAACCAAAGTTTAGGTACATACTTATGATTTAGATTACTGTGTTCAATCATGTATACAAGGAAAGAAAGATTTATAATCGCAAACTATTGTATAAAAGAATATAGCAAGTTTTATATGGAGTAAATTAAATCCATTATAGAAACTATTTACCTTATCAGATTTAAAGTAGTGGCACTGATTAAAACAAACAATACAAATAAATCTGCAATCGTAATTGAATACTTGATTCTCTTGATAGTATAACTTTTATTTTGAATGCAAATATAGTTTTATTTATACCTATTAGCAGTTAGTTGACCAGCTTAATTGGCTTAGTCAATTGTGTAGTCAAGTTTAGGATAACTTTATGTGCTGTGGCTAAGTAAGGTGAAAAACCTGCCATATCATCTCTAATATCAGTAACCAGATAACAATATTCCATGACCTCAATACACTTGAGTATGAAGTAAAGATGATAACTAGTAAAATATTTATTCTAAATGCATGGTGGATTTGGATGACTAATAAAATATCAATAGGTATTTTGAGTTACGAATTATCTATTGTTTTCATAGAGCCTGTGTCTTCGAGACTATTTCTCTTTTATTTCATAGCTATGATGATATCATTAAAGTAACTTTGGTATGTATGCATGTCTCAATAAATGTAAGATATCATTATGTAAATGATTGTTTTACATCCAACTGTCAGTTTCAGAGATTAGTATACCAAAACAAACTACTTACGTCCTCAGTTTTGATCCCTTAGTTCTTAAAGTTCATTTTTAACTAGAATATAGCTGAAACTGGTTTGCTAACCAGTTATTTTAAAGTCTTGTTTCACCATGATGTGGTTAAATTATCTTAACAGAGAGATAATTTGATCTATCTCCTATAATATAAAATGACTGTGGGATATATGTTTCAGTTAGGCTAACAGAAATTTAATTAGCAGTAGTATAACAAGTTCCAAAACTAGTTTTATAAAAGGCATTATGGGATTCAGTTGCATGGGCCATTAGATAAAACAATGCAGAACAATTCTGTAATATTTGAGCTCAACTGTATTGTCTGTAGTGACATCACACAATCATGTTATGACAAGTTTTACAAACAAATCATAGTGATGTAATTGATGGCATTTCATTTTAATTCAATTATCTGAGTGCGACCTGCATTGGTATGTTTATATCAAGTAGTTGGTGCATTAAAACCTTCTTGTTTAGATTTCAGATCATCTTGTTTATGTTTTACTATAGATAAAACTTAGGGAAAATTTTCACTTTATCAAACTGAAAATAATAAGTACCTATCAAAACAAATTGGATAACTCTTGATTATATCTGCCATATGATTCAAAGAGTATTTATACATCAAAATAATGTCATAGGGTTTAAATTAGATAATCAAACTCACCTCTTCACTTTCATTCTTACGCTTCTTCTTTTTCTTTCTGCCCTTCTTCTCTTCTCCTCGGGCTTTCCTTTTCTTTCCCTTTTTCTTCTTTCTACCATCTTCGGGTGAATAGTCTTCATCCTCCTAATAATAACATTGAAATAGGCTCATCAACTTAACCACATCAAAGAGTAGGTTAGTGAAATGTTTACAAATACAACCATTCATTGAACAATATTAACAAAACATGAATGAATAACACATTTTATAATTACCTTTGGTGGTGCTTCATCACTCTCTCCAGAGTTCTCATTTTGACCCTCACCTTCCTCCACGTCCTCGTCGCCTGCAAGTTCACAATAAACTGGTCAAACCAGTCCACCACTCCACCCTCTTACAAACACTCTAGCTAAACCTTTACGATAGTGCATTTCGCCACATGAGCACACTCCTCAAGCTAAGGTCACTAATCCCTTTGTTTGGCGGCGTCCATTTTGTTAAGTAGTAATGAGGGGATATCGCATGTTCTTTTCTGTCACAAACTGCCACTTAAAAATATTTACAACCACAAAATAACAAATACAACATTAACTCACTCAAAATACACTTCTTTAGTCACATATCACTGTGTTTGGACATACTAAGTGGCAAAATGTAAGTCACGGAACCCAAAATTTTCTAAATTTTTAATTGCTTATACCGCAAGTAAACACATGATACCGCTATTCGCGGCTTACCTATGACATGCTAGCTAAATTGAACGTTTACCTGCGAAAGAACCGTCTACTTCATCATCCGATGCCATTTAGATCACTAATAAACACAACCTGCAATAAGATTAAAGATTTTGGTCTAGAAAAGATAAAGGACGCGCAGTTTTTGCGACAAATGGTAATTAATTCAGAAATTGATGCCGCCGTCACTACACGGCAAACTAGCGAGTTGTTGTCTCGCTCGCACACATTCAAAAAATGGGAAAAAGAAATTTTAGGGTGGTCATATTTCAATAAAAAATCTACTATTAATAAATTAAATCTACCAAAGCTTTAGAAATAATAACACGTGTTAGGCTGAAAATAAATTTTTGGGAGTAGTTATATGCTTTATTACAAGTAAAACTCACTAGTATCAGTCAGTTTTGATTGCGAATTGTTTATTTTAACTTTTAAGGCTTTAAGAACGTTACTCTGTGGCTCGAGTGATCATGAAAGTTAGTTGTTATAGAAGTATCTATAGGACTGAAATGAGGTGCTCCAATTGAAAACCAAATTTTCAATACATGTTAAAAGAATGAAGCTGGGCAGATCATTTTCTCGAAGTATGGATGTAGAAGACATTTGAGTTAATCGTTGTGTTTACACACAGTCAATGTGATAAATATAGTTACTCCTTCAATTTGTGATTTGAGCGAGGAAGTAATGATGTCTACATTACTCTAGATTGATTTATTATTTTTAGGAACTTGACATCCAAGTACTCTACTTAAAAATCTACCATTTCGGAGAAATTTATTTAGTGGCCACAAAATTTATAAAATGACAACGTGAGAAAACAAAAATGTTGCCAGTGTAGAAAGAATAAGGTTTTATAAATCTTATTTATTTAAAAAAAAAATATTTCAGTTTTTATTTAATTTTTTATTTCCTGAAAAAATAAATTGGAAAAAGAGCATGAGATAATAAAAATTATCTAATCAAATGCATGGGTTTAAAAGTTTTATTAACGGAAATATTTATTGACGTCACCAATAGAGCGAGACACTCGGGACACTCCAAAACAGAATGGCGTTGTCTCCTTTCTTCACATTCATTGATTGATTGACGAATTTGACAATTTGTTATTGTTTCGCTATCTGTGCAGTGTAGTCAGAGAAGCATGGTTTTTCTATTACAATTATTTTAATTAGTCGTTACTATTCCAGTAGGTTTGTCTTCTACAAACGTCTTATACCTTCCAAAATGAATGCTTTATTAGGTTACGGTTCATCCTCAAGTGATACCGAGGAAGAAAACACAGAGAGTGAAAAGTAAGTTAAAACTATCACAGACTTATTTCTTCATCAAACATTCTTTCATTACACAGTTGTGCTTCTTTATTTCAGGTCTCAAAGCGAGAGTACAAAGCTCAAATTACCAAAGCCGACGATCGGGGAAAGTAGCCTACAAACTTCTGTTTTTTCCAATCCATTCGTGGAAGCAGAACTGGCAAAGGCTGCAATACTTGAAAAGCATGTTAAAATGGTATATGTTGACTTCCTAACACATAACATGTTTTATGATATTGTTAGGTAGTTTTAAAACTTTTTAGATATGTTTCTGTAGTGTAGGTAGGTTATATGAATAGTAGCAAAGAACTATGAATGGCAGTTAAATAAGAAAGTTATTCTTATCTTATTAGTTCTGTGACTTTTTCTCAGTCAGTGGCACCTATTTACCTATTTAATATTCATTAATACTTACAAATAGTTAAACTTTGACAGCACTTTGAACTGCTTATACATGGTCATTATGTAATTTTGGTTCATGAACAGTGGACAATAATTTATAACTATCTTCATCATGATACCATATATCAAAATTAAATAGCATCTTTATAGGACAGGAAAGTTTAGTATCGAGTTGTGCATACAATCGTCAAGTACATAGGCAATGACTGTAAGGTTCCAGGTAAAGACAACACACAGATGATAAATGGCAAACGGATATGCTGGAACTATCGGAAGGGCCGCTGTCGCTTCGGACACAACTGTAAATATGCCCATGATACAGACATACAGAAGTCTAATGATGAGATTGAAGCAGAAAAACAGGTAAAATAATAAATCATATTCTTTATTTAGATTGTTGTTAATGTGAGCAAAATACAAAAATTATTCATCGAATTTTCAGAAACTGAAATCAGTTGTATGTGAAGGAGCTGGAACAATGACTGCAGCTCCGCCGCCTATAGCCGTCCTTGAGTCTGTCCTGCCCACAGATGATGCCGTCTGGGAGGGAGCCACAGATAAAAAGAAACTCAAACGACCAGGGTTGAGCCAGACACTAGTGCCTGGCAAAAAAGTTATTAAAATGTATAAAGAACAGAAAATCAAAGATATTAATAAAAACTAAACAATAACTTGTGTCAAGGCTGCTGTATTTGTGGCATGGTTGAAATCGCAAACTTTGTTTTGCATACAAAGCATTGTTGATGTTGTTCCATAAATGTTATTGCTTGCCAAATGCGGTTTTTGAGCAATGCTCAAGCAAATGCTATTTGAAAGCATTGTACAATTAACATTGACATCTTTTATTGAGATGCTGCCTTATTACTAATGATATCCTTGAGAATTGCCCAAAATGCATCTGGCACCATCCCACCTAATATTGTACTTAGACAAAATGTATTAGTAAATTATTATTTGACCATGGTGCATTCACAGCAATCTTTATTTTACTTCCACAAACTTAAGCTTTATCTTGCATTCCACAGCCATGTATAATATTTACCAAAACAACAATGTTCAATTTCATGTGTTAAAAAATAAAATGATCATAGTTATAAATAAGGTCTCTAATTTATGTTTATGCTATGTCGCAAATTAATCTGAACCGCGATCCATAGAATATCATCACCTACTATTTCCGCGAAGCAATGTAAGAGCCAACTAAGGGAATCTGCGACCACGCATTGCGCTCCTCGACACTTTACAAACCTGGGTGCTTACTCTTGAAATCAATCTCAATATCAATGCAATTTCAATCCAATAAAATCTCAATAATTATTCAATGTCAAAACTATATAACCCCTATCGTAGCTGTTGAAATAGCATTCAGAGTATCTACGGAATATAAAGCCAAGCTCAATACAATTTAATTCATTCAATATCGACGTAATATGGATGCAATGGGCGTAGTGTAGCAACTCAAGAGTACGTTTTACAATGTCGATCGATCGGAATTGGATTCAAGAGTAAGCCCCTGATTACTTGATCTTGATTATCTCCAATCTATGGGTCTACTCTAGACGGGAGGGCCGTTTAGAGTAGACCCATAGGCCAATACTAACAGTGAACTGCCAAGGCGTTTTTGTGGTTGAACTTCTAATTTAGATTTTGAAACATTTGAACTGAAGCTATTCTGTACCTATCTGTTAATTCCACAGATATCTATGTGGTTAGTCTAAAATTAATTCGATCGCCTTCTCACCAGCCATTGGTCGAGAAAGTTGAAAGGCTATTCTGTAATAGCCTAGGCTGTACCTGTGGGATTTGAACTATTTCCCACGCACATGTACGAGATGGTTGGCATGGAATGGGTTCATTGGTCAATCAAGTCAACAATTTATCTACTCTAGTAACTCCATTGGTATTTTTTTCGCCATCACTAATAAAAATTACCAGGTATATTTTGAATAACCCCTGACGAGCACTTCTCAGCTTTACATCTTTTTTACACTTAGGGTCAAACGTTTTTCAAATCGTAAGTGGTTTTTAGTCAGTAAGAGTCTGACACTCCCTCCCGCCTCACCCAGGCGGGAGCAGTCATTCGATGAATTTCCCCCTTAAAAAAAATACGTATTTTCCCGAGCGTACGACGCGTCGCGTTCCGCGCGCGCCTCTAAGCGCGTTTACAATTTGTCATCAACATCACACCCAAACCCGGAACTTAATACTTGTTTCGTTTGGGAATCGAACCCGCATACATTACGTAGTATTCGGTCGCCCGACCACTACGCTAACTCCATAGTTGCATAATCCACTGCTCCGATGAGAAATTAGATAACAAAAACCTTGTGCTCAAATCAAACTGGAAAATCTAGAATAGTTTCAGGTTGTAAGTAAAACAAAAAGTCCAATGACGCATTTTTCTTTATTAAGAAACGATGCGAGAAGTACATAATATGCAATTTTGAGATTTTTACGCCCAAAAGCTAATAATAGCACGATGCACCAAAAATAAATTACATTATAAAATGTAAAGATTTATTGAATACAATATTCAAAGCCAAGTCTTGCTAGACAAACTCAAATAATTCTGGCATTTTATTAGTTATACACTGCAATAAAGCTAGCGTTACATTTATCCTTTTGGTGCAAACGGCTAGTAAGATAAATTTCAGTTGGCACGTGCGCCGCCAACGTTTGCTCTGTAGAATTAGAGCCCTCAATTGCTCAATTATAATAGCACAGCCATTAACAATGCTACCGTGGATCTTTGCCAAACGATTGAATAGCTTCATAGCTATTTAGCAAACCGCTATACAGTAGATGTTGTCTTCATTACATTGAAATTATATTAAAAAGATGGCCTTAAAAATACTTTTGTAAAATTATTTTTATGATTTTGCGTTAAGTAGGTACTAGTCTCCTTCGACAATAAAAAAAATAGTGACATTGCAACGATATCAATTTCTAAATCGAATTACTCTATGTCACATAAATATATTTCTTTATTTGATAAAAATATATTTCATTTAAGACAAATTCAACGCTAAAAGCTCAGGGGACCCGCCCTAGTGAATACTGTTAACGAATGGTGTTAATGATAGATAACATTTGGACCCCTGTAAAGAAATAAGTGTGAACGATCTACGTGACCACACAACATCGAGACATTAAAATTTCACGATTCAATCTACAAACTAAAACGATTTACTGCAACGTTCTAATTATGAAATTTACTAACGTCGCGTCTTCAATACATAATTAAATTAAGTCTATAAATAAAATGCTATCGCGTTAGGTACATTAGAACCTAAAACACTAGTACATAGTGTTTAACATACTGCAACAATACTTAAATTGATATTATTGCAACACTTTAAGTACATACTATTAGTGTGAATGACAATATTTGTATTATATTTTTATGAAAAAGTATTTAAGTATATCATACTGTGTAAAGGCACAAACAATACAAAACATTTTATTACATATATCTGAATTATTCAGATTGCTCAATATATTATACGCTGTGGTGTTCTTGGATGCATTACCTATGTAAAATATTGTAATATTTAAGGAATACTACAAAAATAGTTATCTTTTGGCAATTCATATAAAAGTACTATGAATAAATACAATATACGAGCATACATGACCTTTTAACGATGGTTGGCGATAATGAAATAGTTATTTATTACATTTAAGTAGTTCTTAACATTATTGCTATTTCATAATTTGGTGTATATTGAAGTGTTACAAAGTGGAATTCCATAAAATTTCAAAATCTAAAGTAAGTTAATGTTAATTAAATCTTGACAGCAACCTTTGTAATCTTTGGTGATCCGAGATCCATTCTGTGGTTCTTCTTGAATTCGTCCAGCTCTGTTTCATGCGCAGCGCCGTTTACTGCAGCACCGTTGAGTTTCGGAGCGTGCCCGTTGGCGTGGTGGCCATTTACCTTGGCTCCACGCGCAGTGCCCATATCACTGTACCCGTTGACTTTATCACTAGCGTGGCCATTCATTTTACCGATGGCATGACCATTGACTTTCTCACCTGCGTGGCCATTCATTTTACCGATGGCATGCCCATTGACCTTCTCACCTGCGTGGCCATTCATTTTCGCGACTCCATTAGAACCAATGTGTTTTTCATCCTTGTGGCCGTTGGTCAAGCCTTTAGAATGCCCTGATAAATCAAAAGAAAATTTCCTTTTAACCCCCAAACTACGTGTTTCATAGTGACACTGGCGCAAATGTGTTAGTCACGTTTTCTAAGCTAAATGTTCTTTACAAAATATTGCGCTCCGTATTAGTAGATTCATCGGATGAACCCATTTCGGTTCGTCCCAAAATAGCAACAGCTCTCGTATCTGGAAAGTTATGGTGACTTTAATATACTCGGGGACCCGCGTGGGGGAGAACTAGCAATACTCACACAGTGGTAGAAACATGAAATGTATCCATACCTCCCGCGTCTTTTTCTTACTGACAATTTGTTCTTCACGTATAATTTCCCTAACCTTCAGGTTTGATAAGTAATGAGGCTCGAATATTAGTAGACCAGATAGTAAACGTTGCTACATATTACGGGGGAGATATTGACTTATTAGTGCAAAACATTCAATGTGTAATGAGACAAAAACTAGACAGAATATTTGTTTTAAAAAGATTCCTATAAAAACTAGTAAAATAGAAGTCTACCGGTACTAATAGGGGTGTCTAATCTATTCTATAACACAATTTACGCCAGTGTTCACATCACAATATCGCATGCAAAGAAATGATCAACAGAGACATAAATTCAAGGATCTATTTGAGACAAGTGCTATTAAAACTTCTTTATCACGGATAATTATGTTAGTGGTAAAAACGACAAATATTTTAATAGCAGTTGTACACATTGATAAACTGAATATAAGACATTGTCTCTCATCCAAATGCGTACAGTTTGTTCAAATCTGAATTTGTAGTGAATCTGAATTTTGAATATTTATTTAAAAATATTTATTTATTTATTAACGTTTCATGCACAAAGTGTACATTAGGTGGACTTAATGCCGCAAGCATTTTCTCACAGTTTGACCTTTGGGTGATACAGAGAAGAGTTAATGGTAGGATATTATTGTCCAGATTTGAATTTGTATGGAATCAGATGAGGCATTTCCACGAAGATATGTCCAAAAAGGAAAAGCATACACACCTTCTTTCTTAGCACTTGCTTGTTTCGAGCTCTCACCACCAGTGTAGTACTTTTTTGAATTCTTCCAATCTTCTTTGAGGGACAAGTTGTACATAGAATAGGCGGGGTCACCGGTCACCTCCTTCTCAATGACAAGGAACTTAGGTAGCGACGCCAACAGCGTGTCTTGATCGTGAATAGCACTGTATGTCTCTAGTAAAACTAGTCCTCGACACCTGGAAACATTTTAGTTGTACTTAGATAATGTTTTATTAAAGGATTTTATGTCACCAAAAAGCATACATACATAAATATTACCTTAGAAACTTGTATCTGGCGAATGAATAAATAAATAAATAATAAAATAAATATATGTAAAATACTTAATTTATTATAACAATATAAAGCTGTATTTAATTTAAATAATTCGAAGACCTAATCACCTGGGATGTGAGGGTTGTCTGTAAATGTCCAACTGATAGTACTGGTTGTTGTAGATAAAGCAACGACGTTTCTTGAAGATAGTGAAGTGGGCTTCGTCACGCTGCGGGAGGAGGTTTAAGTAGTCTCGATGCGTAAGCTGTGTCCTGACTTCTACAGACTGGCCATTGATCGGATGGACCTTCCGCAGCGTGTGTATGTAGGACCAGTGGCCCTTCTGGCCACGCTTGCGGAGCCGGACCTGTGCCTTGCGAACATCGCTCTGCAAGTAATTGTGAACGACATCGAAGTCCTGGAACGGGGGGAACTCCGAATCTGGAACGATCGGCGATTTGACAAGGAACTTGCGCTTCTTGGAATTGACATTGAGCCGGTCTCCGGTATCAATGCCGATCCTCTGGCACACACAGTCGATGAGCCGGTTCATCTTCAGGTCGAAGTCGGTCGAGTTGTCGATGACATCGAAGTAAGGATGACCGATCCACGCGGCAGCCGCATTGTAATCCAGTTCCCTCGCCAGCTCGACGCCTTCAGATCGGCAGGCGTGATCCTGTCAATGAAAACCACACGTCTATTACAATTCAATTGAGTCAGATATCGTATCTGTCAAGGTTAGGTAAAAATAAGCGCGGAACTAATTTAGGTCATACGTTTAATTGTCAGATTCCAAGTGTGATTAGACATAAGACGATTACTCGTCACGTGAGAAACGCATCATACTGACGAATAGTAATCAATATTATCAGGGCGCCTTAATCTCTGATCTTGGAAATTCATAACAAAACGTTAATCCTATCTTTCGATGACGCCACTAGATTGATATTATTATTCTTATAGCTAGGTATTATTGATACAGGGGGCTTTATCACAGTAGTCTTGAAATGGCACATTGCCAATGTTATTGCGAAACCACAAACGAGGATTGCATGCGCTGCGGTAATTCATAAAGTTAGACATTTGAATAATACTGTTTTTATAGCTCTGAGCAACCGTTTAACGAAATAAAAATATGCAAACTAATTTAGATTTGAATGTTTACTATTTGTTTTGAACATACTGAGTAATCGATTGTAATGTATTGAAATTAATAAACAGATTTTAGGTAAAAGAGCATCTGTACGTCAAATAGCACCTCCATCTCCGTCATCTATGAAGGATTAGGAGCGAACAATTAATGAGAGAACTGGGAGAAAATGCCATATGGCATTATGTACCTTATTTTGAGTGCATTAAAGTGTACAATAAATAATAAATAAATAACAATTAAACCTGTTACTAAATCCCCTACAACTGCAGTTGCAACCATTCAAGGAACGAGGTCGTCATAACAAAAACATATTAATCATTGTCCTTATTATTGACATAGGTTGGGTAAATTTTCCATTTAAGTAGGTTATTAGCTAAGATAGCAAGATATGATTCAAGCTAATCAATTATCTGCATTTATCAAGTTTTAAGGCGGTAAGTAAAAAATAAGTTAATAATGAAGTCGTAATCTACTTTCATAAAGACTAATATTATAAACAGAAAATATTTCATTGCTTGTTTGCATTGAAATGGCGCCAGAATTACAGAACTGATTTAAAAAAATCTTTCACTATACAAAAGCTTGTTTATCAGAGAGTAACATAAGACTACTTATTATTTAGATATTCGTTTAGATAAACAAAAACTACACAAGTTAAATTCCAAAGGGCGAACGCTATGACGGAAAGCTATCAGTATGATATTAAAGTCAATAGAAAAATCTAGTTTATGAATAAAAACTACAAGAACATAGTATAAAACTATCAAAATACCGCACACGATATTCATAACGTGATCAAATGAACGTAATGACACGCTAGACGAAATTTACGTTGGTTAGGCATTTATATTACAATGAAGTTGCATTTAAATCGTTCGTTTTATTATTTCAGTCACGTTTCTTACCACGTAGCGTAATAATTGGCCATAGACTCACTTAAAAGTACATAATATGCAATTATGTACTTAGCTACGTATCTATTATAACAAGGTACTGAGGCATTAGTACAAGTTTGTTTCACGTTTAAAGTAATCGAAACGAGTACGTGTTCAGTGCTCTGATTGGCCGGCTGCAATGAATTAACCAATCGGAGCGCCGAAGGCAGACTCGATTTCGATTACTTCTAATGTGAAATAAACTCGTACTAAGCCCTCAGGAATCTGCATCATCACGCATTCTCTACTCATAAATTGTACACTCAAATCCGCCCGCACACATATCAGGATCCATTAATGGAAATCGTATCGTAATCTGTTTAGCAGTTTCTGCGTTTATCGCATTCTAATATACAAACACAAAGTGATAATTTGTTATACGCAGGTGGTATCAAGTAAATTGAATAAATAGATACTAGAGTACGTAGAATATAGTGACGCTTTGTCACTTAGATACATTTAAATATGAAAACCGTCACGTGCTGACAGTAGGTCCCCTGTTATTATCCATTGTCTGGTCTGACGTTACTTGAAACCCGCATACAGTATATTTGTGTAGGTAAGGTAATCGATAGCTTGAAAACATGTCAGAGGGAGAGCCAAGCGTTAGTAAATAGCGATGTCTCTCATAATGATTGATGGTATACTTGTCAAAATGCTGTTAAATAAATAATGAGTTTTAAATAAATACTTATTTTTTCGGAACAAGAAAATAGATAAACTCAAGCGTGTTATTCCCAAGAGTACTATCTATCGCCTATCAGTCCGCATATTTTTGAAAAACCAAAACTCATTTATCATAACATTTTAATCCTACTTCCTTTTATTATTTGATAATTTTCGTACAATCAATCTTAAGTTCTTATGTAATGGTTTGAAGAACTTAGTGCCTTGTAACTGATTCTAACGTAAAATAATTTTCTATCTTGTGTCAGGGTCGATATAATGTGAATGATTTTGCAATTACAAGCTTATGTACGTAGGATATAGTTCCTTTCTGCATAATTCATGCTTCCATTCAATTTATTGTCTATACGTTTGGCTGAAAAACTGTAGGATATTTTATACAAATGTAGCTGTGATTAATTATTAGTTACTCTTTTCAAAGAATGAACTTAGTATTCACAAATTGAGTTATAAAATTACAATTACATACTTGCATTTGTTTACCAAGTACTCGTGTCTCTAAAGAACTTTGTTGACATACGTTCATTAGTCACATTACTTATCTCACGCTAATTATTTAGTGTGATGAGGTATAATGTTATCACACCAAAACAGTTCGTATCACATCAGGTAAACATAGACAGACTTATCACACGTTGGGTGGCGAAATCTGTTTTGACATTGAATCGTGCCGGTCTATAGATAGGACGCAAATTCGTTTAATTTAAAATAGACGGTGGGAATGTTTCCTCAATAGATTGCTAGATCAATACGTACGTAATACTGACGTACGAGTACTTCTAGCTAAGCCGATAATACCCACACCTCCAACACACGGGGTTATAGATCACTGTGGTCGAGAATTCACATTAACTATGTCACATTAGCTAAGTATATCCACCATCCACCGTTGATGGGTATTTACATTAGATTTTAGTGTTTTCAGATAATAAAATCGACGTAAAATTTTTATGATAACAGTCATTAACACAGACTTTAGACAACCTTCGTTTTATACGATCTTGGAATAGTGTATAGCTGTCGTTATCATACTTATATTGCGTTTGGTTTACATTATCAATATTATTATGTTTCGTATCATCATGGCTTAAACATAATGATCATGTATCATATCCCTTGCACGCAGGCGACAGGTTAGATCATAGTTATCAACATATCGCATTCCGTAACTGTCTGGTTCCAATTCATTACTTGTGGTTTGAGCTAATAATATTATTAATAATAATAAGTGTTACAGGTACACTGGCATGGTAATAGTCGTCTCTAAATATACACAATATTAATTCCATTGCTAACTAAGATAAAAGTAATTTGTATGGCACCGGCATTTTTCTTGGGAAAATTTGCGAGAAAAATGTAGTTAGTATTGCAACAGCTGTATTGTTTTCATTCAAATCCGTATTAAACTAACAAATGAAATAAAACGATTAGTTTTGCTAATGGCAACGAGTATAGTTATCAAGAGTGTGACTTTTATCTGACGTGTATTTTAGCCACGGCCTAGTTTCGTGGAGTTTGGCCTGCATTTCCTAGTTCGCTGACTTGTGACGTAGAACGGTTTAAGAGAAAGGAAGTGCTTACCTCGGTGGAGTAAAAGTCCTCAGCTCCGTTGGCAGCTGAGAGCATGTGTACGATGTGATTGTACCGGTTGTCTCTCAGCTCGACGCAGTTCCAGTTGTTAGTAACCAACATCGACTCCCATTTCTCTCTCGATATAACTGAAATGTGTCCAAGAGATAGCTATTAGGAAAAGAGATGCAATTAAAATGTTCAAACAATTTTCTGCGTCGGCTTCCCGCCAATTTCTTTACATAACCCTGACATACTTTTATTTTTTTTACACGATACGCCTTGACAACTATTGTCTAGACCAGAAATTGTAAAAGCGTGTAATCATAGTTTTGCGTACTATGTACTTAGATATCTCTAGTTAGAATTAATTAAATAGAGTGACTGATAAAGGCATCGAGTTATAATTTGTAATTATGACCTATTCTTATAATATCACAGTAAGGTAAACAAATTCGTGTTGATATCAGTAGAGCAAATGACCTCCTTGGTGCGAACGCGTGGCTGGAATTTACATAACAAGCCGTTTTGATAGAGAAAAAAATCAAGTAGATACCTACATGTTTCATTGAAGAAATAAATGATAATTATTGTTTGTATGTCGATATTTCGTAGAAGAAAGGAAATCAATAGATATCTGTTAATTAAGTGATAAATGTTAGATTTCATTATGTAAATACAAGCAATGATGTTAAGCGCGATAGTCGCGTTCCGGTGTCACGTTTTAACTATCTAGATGTGACTAGATTACTGCCAAGAGGCAACATTGTACCCAACTCTAAAATGTATGTAAATCAGAGCACCTAACATTGTTATTTTTATCTTTTTAGTGCTTGTCGCTCTTACGACGGAACTGAACGAACGTTATCTGCGGAAATGCACATTTTCAGTGGATTTTTCCTTTCCAAAAATAAAATAACTTTGTAAACAAGTTTAAGCCTTTACGTCCTCTTTAGAACGAAGTATAATAAATATCCTGTGTTCAAATTACAGTAGCATTAACGCAATCAGTGCAAAATAAACATTAAATAGAAGTGCAAAGAGCAGTGAGTATTCAATTTCTTATCAATCATCAATGTTCTAATTTAACAACAATAAAATTAAACTTTGATATTAACTTATTGGTATACTATAGCTACTTTGATAACAACATAATTTATTTATTATTGTCGCCTTGCTTCATTGATGATTCAAATCTAAATTAGGTGCGACAGTTAAATTAAAATAAGGTAAATTAAAAAATCATAATCATTTTATATACCGATTTTTAATTGTTTAATAATGTATATCTTTTTGATTTTTCAAAAAGTCATGCCCAATAGCTAATTAGTATTATCTAATCTATTTCATAACTTGACCTAATATTTTTCTAAAACACGCAATTTGTTTACGTTCTACTAAGTTCTAAGATAAATTAAGTAGCAATTATCCTAACCACATTTAATAGATTTAAAAAAAAAACTTTTGGAACGATCTAGAACGTTATTTTAAATATATTCTTTTACTTTTTTTAGCGCGAGAGAGATACCATAAACATTCTAAGCAGACGGAACCATTACAGAAGCTTTATTTACCACATGGTGAATAATAATTTTCTTGTTACTGACTCATTACCTAGGCACTAGACAAGCCCGTGTGTAAGTTTCCATAATAAAACTTGTTGAGAAACGAGTGACTTGTTGGAGCAATGATAATATACCATGGCGTAGTTACACATGTTTCATTACATATCTATATCCATAGTCCATACTTAACATATAAAGTTGAAGATTTGTATGAACGTTGTATCCCAGGAACTAAAGGTTCGATTTGAAAAATTCTTTGTATTGGATAGTCCAAAACATCGTGAGGAAACCTGGGCTTATAATTTCTAATTATAAGTTTGTAATCGCCAAACTGCATTGAGCAAACGTGGTGATTAATGCTCAAACCTTCTCCATGTGAGAAGAGGCTTTGCTCAGCAGTGGGCACTTATAGGCTGTTGTTGATGATGATGATATTCCATTCATCGAGGAAGGCTATAGATATGTTATAAAACATCACGCTACGACTAATAGGGGCCGAGCAGAATGTGAACCTGCGCGGGAATAACTAGTTTGTGTATAAATAACGTAGTACTTAAGGCACGTGTTATTTATCTTCCAGATATTATAATCTAATAGACGTAGACACTAGACGAATAACAGTGTTGATAAATTTATCTACTTTGTATAGGTATACATTCTAAGACAAATCACCTTTCAGGCGTCTGTTTGTCTGTCTGTCTCAGTAAATCATAATCATGGCGCGATGTTCTGTTTGTGGTCAGTATTAATAGACATGTTAATTATAGTTTTCATGTATCTGTTCACAATGGTGCTGTAATGTGTTCATGTGTGGCATTTACTGGAAATCACGTGGTAATTTAGCATACAGAATACATCATTGTTTGTTTATTTGCCACGGCCATATTGTAAACATTTTGATACCATTCCGCCTTGAATTTGGTCTTAAATACTTTAAAGTTATGATAACAAATGGAATGTAACTTACATGCACTGGCATCCATCGCACCCCTATCGCATATAATTAAGCAATCCCTCTGGCAAGTCCTGCCCAGCTCGAAGAACGTGTTCTCAATCTGTATCATAGTCCTTAGAAGGTTCTCCTGGAACTTCATTGCTGTAACAAAGAATACAATTATTAATACAAAGGCTCAATAACGTCTGCATTTATCTATTGTTATAGGTGATCCTGATGACGCTAATGCAGAAATATGTTCGAAACAATAAACAAAGCATTCACGAAGTTATTACTCGTGAGAATTTTGTTATTTTTACAAAATCATGTTATGTCTCAAATGCAAGGCTTGTATAGGGTATGATATGTATAACTAATGTAAACAGAAAACTAATTAACTCTTGCCATGAGAAAGTACAGAAGATCAAAGTTTACAGGTATTCTAAACATGCTGTAATAAGATAAACTGTGGATGACGACACAGCCCGCATACACAGAAAAAAATAACACCTAGAAAAGTCTGTATGTATTTTTACCCGGCTGAAGAAAAGGTATTGTGTTACTTATGTACAGTACAGCCGATTTATTATATTTTAAACTGTGTCATCAATAATACAATTATTTTTGAAAAATCTATGTCAAAACGTACACAGTATTTCAGCAAGTTACCAATTACAATGAGAGAAAAATGTGGGTGCGACTTTAAAAGGTCAAAAGAATAAAACGGTCGTGATGGAATAAGAAATACGTTTTCTAGAACAATAACCTGTATAGTCAAATATTGAAATGGAGCCAACAGCACACGTGGACTGTGAAAAGCTGTGATACATATTACATACATACTTATGAATAAGTAGGTAAACGTGCAACTTTTAATAAAACCGCTGAAGTAAGCAAACTATTGATAATGGAATTCCCCTGGTGCGAGAACTGTTATCCTTTTATCAATTATGTACTTTAATAGATTAAATTGACTGAAGAGTAAGAACGACAATAAAAATCATGACGGACAAATATCGTAAATAAGAGTATAAGTGCTCTATTGTTACGTGTATATAATTCTAGGCTATATATATAATACAGGATTAGCTCGCGTGTTAATTTATAAGATGTTTACACCGCAGTAATTGGATAATCTTGGCTTTCGAAAGGTCCACAAAGATTTAAGTGTAATACATAAACGTTATTAAATTATAACGCTTATCCGGCGAATAAACATAAAAATTGATATTGGGATAAAACATATCTCAATATAGCTATCAGATAACAGTTTAGGAAATGACTAATACAAAGGAATACGTTAATTTCCTGCAGGAAATGGTGTACAGAGGCTTCAAAGGGAAAAGAGTATAAAAGAGAATATTTAATTCCAAATCTCTGAAAGTTCGTTTGATATTCTGTTTCATTTAGTGAAAACGTTGAAGGTATACTGTCTGGCAAATTACCTGCTGCATAATAAACGATGACAGTAAAGCTCATTTATCTACATTAAGTTATTTGGATAATCCAAACGTTTTGGAAAGACATGAACGTTGAACGCAATTTACGGCACGATCTATTACAATGAATGTCGTAGGTACAAAAGCTAGCACAATTAAATTTAGTGAACTAAAGTCACGCACGCGATGTAGAAATTTTCAAAATGGACGGAAATTGAATGTCTCGTTCAAGAGAACGTGTATGAAAATAATAGTCAAGTAGGTAAGATAGAGCGCACTATCACCGGTGCATCATAAAAGACGACATGAATAAAAGATAAATAGCTATAAAAACGACGTAGTCCTACTTCCTACAGGCACAGCAAGTGTATAAAATATACAAGCCCTGTCCAGCTGTATATTTCACATATAGGTATTTCTTATTACGCTGGAGAATTAGCCATATAGCTAAACTTAAAATGATTCATAATAAAGACTGAATAATTAAGATGTTATTTTTTCCATGTTGCTATTTCCCAAGTTTTGGACAGTGAGGAAGATGAGCACGAGGCTTATGACGCAATGGGCCAGTGACGCGACATGGCGCGGCGTGCGGAACACATATTATCGCCTACAAATCACTGTTAACGACCCCGACAGACACCATTGTCATCGTAAATGCCAAAAAATAGGCACGAATATAGATTTCACAATAAAAACTTTGTTTGCTAAACAATTATATTCTTGCGTGATCATTTAAAATCATAGCACGAGTGATTCTCGTGATAACTTAATAATAATAAGCATCTAAATCATTCATGAAATGATAGTAATGTTTTATGGAATCCGATCTAACTAGTATCCTATCTATAATATCGTAGATAAAACACGTCTCCATTGCCAAATGCCGTCTTAATGTGCAGAATTCTATATAGGTATATCACCGAGTTTTAAATGGCAACGATCTTATGGCTATTAAGAGGGCACAGCGTCTAGAGGTATCCTGTTTATGTAAGACGATTCCGATTCTGGTCGTAACAGAGCTGTAATGTAGACAACATGAATACCGCCGGTTTATACTGCATTACAATTACTCCAGTAAATATTTATTAATTGTCAGAACAATAAGTAACAAGAAACAACCATGAGAACTGAGAAGGATGTGGAGCAAATTATTGTGAAGCTGGTTGATAAGTTTACAAAAATATTTCAACACAATATTGAAAAGAAATGATTGACAGTGTCTGTAGTTAATAGCTAAAGGACGTTGCCTTGAATTTGTCTATTTAAAAATAATAAAGTAAATTATTTCAGCGAGGGGCGTGCTGGGAGACTAATTCGGCCCTGATTGTCTGCTGCGTTTTATTTTCAGCGCCATACCAATGAACTCGTACTGGATGAGGACGATTCATGTCTTCAGTGGCAACGTGTTTTATTAAATCAACGAGTAATTGTTAGATAATAAATATAAAGAATAATTTTAAAAGTGGGGCACATTTGGGAAAAGTTTGGTATAAATGTAGGAGTGTACATTGGCGACAGCTGCCTAGACAATTTTATGACGTTGTTAGAATATATAACGAACGCAATGACGACGTATATCGTCAGTATTAAAAAAGAAATGGGCTTTAAAAAGTACATTAAAGATAATGCTATAATCTACAACCTCATAATACACGGTTCAACAAACATGCTTAACTTAGGATAATTTATAAAATTAGAGTTGATTAGAGCCTCTGTCATATTGTAGTACTTGTTTTACTAGTTATACCCGTAAATACCTACTGTAGAGTGGACACTCAGGTATCACATGATAGATAAGAAGAAATCTATAGCCATGAACTTGATAAAACATCATTGTTTTTGTTACGAGTTATGTAAAAAATATAACGTAAAATGGCGGAAATAATTCTAGCTGTTTTAAAGGGAAGGATAGTAATAATGAAACAGGTAAATGACAAATGAGGAAGACAAGAGTTTAATTAATTTTCCTTCTTCGGATAAAAAGATTTACTTCTTGAAATCTGTATTGTACTGTCGGACTTTTTTCCCGTAATTGTAGTCAGAGTGACGAATCGAGGCCAAAACTAAATGCTTTTACACCACGAACGGAATGGTACAATTTTTCATTTTATAGTTCCCTTTAAATAAAAAGTCACAATGTCATTCTGTTAAATTACTGACAATTATATTCGCAGAATATTAAATGTACGCAAAGTGTACGTTTTCGTTTAACTGAGATTCATTATTTACTTTTTTAAATACACCCCGACGAAATATTTAGTTTTAACCGGATTTGTGTGCCAAAGGTGCGAGGGTCCATCTCCATACATATCTGTTTTCGATAAAAACTTAAAAGCAAACCCTGATAACGCTATCTGTCTTGAAAAATTGAGTAAAGAATCCAGTTTAAAAATTACGTATTAGAAGTTATTTTAATACGAAGGACATAAAGTCTTGTACCGTAAATGATAACGTGGAAATCAAATTTATTTTCGTATCGCGTGATTTGTTTTCATGACTTTCATGCACTATTCAAATTTCATTATTCATCGTTATTTGAGCAATCTTACGTTTCATTTGTACAGCGTATCGACGTTATTTTATGACTCGGTAATATTCCCTGAAGCTTTGAACAAGGGAATTTTTTGTAACGATCTTTATTAGTTTCGGTATAATTAAAGACAGATTGAATATGAATGGTCTTTCAGAACAGCAAATCATCGCTTTAGAATAATTTAAAGTAAAGAAATCTTTTTTGTAAAGATTCCTGTCTGTCTGTTCCACAGAATGTTTGGCAGCTCTCTTGTGTACATTGACCAACACGCCTCCACTGACGTCAATGGCCAAAAAATCAAGTTTTAACGCTTACACGTCATCAGAAGCCAAACAAAGCTTTGTATACCTGTGTGAACCTAATTAGGTGGTCATGCTATAACGAGAAAAAAGGCTTCATTATGATGTGACAAAATTTGTTACAGATGGCTTCATAAGCTCTAAAATTACATACAGAATGGTTATATATGGTTGCTGGCACGATACCAATACCTAACCGATTTAATTCACAGCAAAAACTTCTAAATAAACGATCTGTGCCATTGATCTTATTAATAACAGATGCGAGTCGTTATCACTGCGACAAACTTCGATTGCGTGACGTGACGGAATGGATGTAGACTGGGATTCGTCGTACAGCTTGTTTACCTTCTGATTAAATTTGCTCATCTAATAAACAACAGTTTATTATGTCTATTGAACAAGTTGATATATCAACTTGCTATAGCAACTAATACTGCCACGAGCTACCTAATTTGATAAGAACCGAGCTATGTAGGTAAATATAATATGAACAGTTTGAGCAATTAGTGAGAGATCGATGACCCTAAAAGGGAGGTTTTAGCGTAATGGAACAGAAAACTACCAATAGCTTCCAGTCTGACATTGTTACCGACTCACCGCCGACCCCATCGCTCGCTTGGGCAACAGCCGCGGCAGTACACCATTTGCAATTTGTAGGGCACATGTCAACTGTAACACTTATCGACGGATCTGCCACAATATTCATTATCAGTTACTTTTATTGAAGTATGTCTGTGGGTACTTACGTCTTACATCTTCACGCAATTGAATGTGATAAGAGTGTTTATGTTTATTAGCAAATAAACATGTCTCCAATACCAATACAAACGAGCTTTGCTTCCTGAATTAGTTTACAAAAACCTGGATTTAAAGAAAGGAATGTAT